TTTTCTGCAGATTGTTTGTTTTTCCCGCATTTTCAATTCCACTTAAACAGCAATACTCTTTTGCTATGTTTTAAAAACTGCAAAATTCTACTAGTATGGCAGTAAAATTTATAAATCTGCCAGATAATACAATTGCATCTTCAAAAATATATTATTTATTATTCTCTGACAAAATTTTGTTTGCATTTTGACATAGATGATTCTAAAATGAGCCCAGATGATTACCACTTTATGTGTAGAAATTTTAAACAGCAAATTTATTTTCTTGTCGTCCATGAGTTTGATTTTATTTCATTGTTCAGTATAATGAAGATAAGACTAAGACTTCTACATGTATATGCCTTCTATATGGTCTTTCAAATACATGCATTTTTGAATGCATGTTATCACATTATGTCTCAGTTTTGTAAAATAGCTAAAATACAAATACATGTACTTTTCAATGCATATCGTATTCCCTGAATAGGGGAGATGTATATGTAAATATGGTTCATTAAATGCATAATTACTGAAAAATATCACCACTGTATATCCGAGTTTTTTTTTTTAATTTGAGGAAGAGGCATGCAGAAACATACTTTTTTGAATACCTTAAAAAATATATCATCACTGTAAGTTATTTTCTGAATAGGGGAGAAACAATCCAGTTCATTTTCTTTTCTTTTTGACAAATTTAATGCATCATTGCAGAAAAAAAGGTATCAATTTCCTTCTTCTTCTCATTATTATTAATTGGAGAAGAGACACTCCAGTAAAATATTTTTTTGCCAAAGAATAATGTGTTTTGTTAGAAAAAATATGGAATTATTATACTAAGTAAATAATTCTTTTCATACCGGGAGAGATATGCCAATACATTATTTCTCAAAATTTTATGCACAATTGCTGAAAAAAAATTAATATAGTGATCAAATATTTGGTATTTTATTAAGCTGTCCAATATACATAATGCATATTTTCCCACATGTTCATCTTTTCTCTTTATTTTTGTCCCAGCAAGACCTCACATGCTTATTTACTACCTATTTCGTTTTTAAATTTTTTATTCAACCAATTTTTATTTTTCTATGTTAGAAATACTTGATACTATTTACAATATGATATGTTAAATAACATTTTAAAAAGAAAAGAAAATTAAAATGTAAAGAAAATGTATAAATAATACTATTAATCTTTGGTTAGCACATATAAACGATATGCACCTTTTGCAACAAAAATAGAATTAATGGTACACAAAGGTTTTCTAGAGATTCAATTTTTCTCTACTTTTTCCTGTCTGAAAAGCATGCAAAGAGATTTAATTGTAAAGCATATATATACAAAGAGATTTAAAGCATGCAGAGATTTAATTAATTGTAAATTGTCTTTTTTCATAGGTTTTCTAGAGTTTCTTTTTTTCCTCTCTCTAGTTTTTCCTTTCTGAGGAGCATTAAAAGTGATATGATTGTAAAATGTCTTTTTATAGGTTTTTCTAAAGTTTCTTTTTTTCTAGCTTTTCCTTTCTGAGAAGCATGAAAAGTGATATAATTATAAAATGATGTATTTTACATTATTTACATTTTCGTGTTTTATCTGAGGGTGAGACATTCAGAGGCGTACATTTTCGAATAAATAATTGCTAAAAACAAAAAAAACAAAAACAAAACAAAAAACAAACAAACAAACAAAAAAGTTACTTTCTGAATAGTTGAGAAACTGAACAAATCATTGATTTTCTTTTCGACAAATTTAATGCATTATTGCACGAAAAAGATATCAATTTTCTTCTTCTCATAATTATAAATTGGGGAAGAGACATTCCAGTAAAATCATTTTTGACAAAGAACAATGTGTTTTGTTAAAAAATATATAAAATCACTTTACTAAGTAAACATTTTTTTCATACCTGGAGAGATATACCAATATATTATTTTTTTCAAAATCTTATGCACAATTGCTGAAAAAAAATATAGTGATCATATTGTATCATTATTACCTTTTTGGTATTTTATTAAGCAGTCCAATATACATAATTCGAATTTCATATTCATTGTATTGTACCATTAAACAGTCATTCATATTTGTTTGCATTGTATGATTATTCATTTCACATTTTATCTCAAAATAAAGCCATGACAAAAACTGCCAAATCATTGTTGCTTTATTCTATCGAAGCATATTTTTTTTTTTTAATTTTCACCTGTTCTCTTTAAGTTTGTCTAGCAAGACCTCACAATGCTTTATTTACTACTTATTTTATTTTTATATTTTTATGCAACCAATTTTCATTTTTATATGTTAAAAGTACTTGATGCTCTTCACAATGTAATATCTTAAATAACTTTTATAACGACATTTTGCAATTACAATAGAATTTCTAGTACACGTAAGTTTTCTAGAGATTCAATTTTTTCTCTAGTTTTTCCTGTCTGAAAAGCATTCAAAGAGATTTAACTGTGAAGTGTCTTTTTTCATAGGTTTTCTAGGGGTCCTTTTTTCTCTCTAGTTTTTCCTTTTTGAGAAGCATGAAAAGTGATGTAATTGTAATATATTTTTTTATTACATCAAGTATTGATGTTTTATGATTCAAATCAAAATAAACTTTGCTATGTGACTTTCTTGTCGAGATTTTAATTGATATTTCTTGTTCCGAAGAAACTGTAAATTAAAGCATAATAGATATGCAGCTTGAAATAGTTTTGATTTGATACTCCAAATGAAAATTAAATACCCCCTACTTTGCAATCTGATTCACAAGAGATATCTAAAAATATTAATTAAGTAAGTTCCTAGATTTGATCAAACTAGGGCCTGTTCTTGGATAGGAACTTTGTCAAGAATATGACAAGTGTGCAGACAGCCATCTGCAGTTTTTTAGACCTACGTGCACTCTTCTGAGTTTGAAAATTATTATTGTAATTTTTTCTTCAAAACCTTATATAAAAATTCACCATTCTAATTCATAACAACCCATGGACATCCTTTCATGTCAAATGAAGATGAACTAGATTATTTTATTATAGACATATGGTTCAAGTACCTGTACAGTTGTATTTTTCCAATTCAGACATCAAGAAAGTATAGGTAAAACATGTACACCTACATAATCCAGGGCATGGTCCCAGTAATTTTTTCTACCTAAGGTTGAGAGGTACAGAAAATATGATAAGATACCATTTGTTATTTAAAAAGAAAAGACGTGAATTTCAAATAAGATTGCATGTATCTACTTTTCAAAAATGGAGAAGAAAATAAAGATAAAAGATGGGGGGTTTACAGTTTCGTTAAGATTTTCTTTTTGTGCTGAATGCAACAACATACGTAGTTGTAAACAAGTGGAATATCAAAGGCGAAGTGCAAAGTCCAGAAATCAATCAATTCCCTGCGTTTTGTATACTTCGGCTACATTTAAACAACAAGTCATACATTGGCATGTCAGGGTTTTCCGGCGAAAAAATGTTTAATACATGGGTTTTTTTTTTCACTTATAAAATAGATAAAATTTATTGATACTCAGGGCATACAAGTAAAGAATAATAAACACAAAAAGAAATTCAAAATTGATAGCAGAAACATGTCGATATTAAAAGAAAAGAAACTAACTAAAGAAGATGATGATGATTATAGCAGATGGGAATTACCTATAATAAATGCTTAAAAACATATATAATTAGCAATCGTACAAAGAATTTGTAACATGTATATTTGTACTGGAGTATTAATATTATTATTCTTATGCATTTATTTGGTCCTTTTAACATTATATAATTCATTATTTCTTATCTAAAAAATATTGATTAAAAAATTACCCAGTTTGATAAGCAATAGTGTTTTTCTTAATCCACAGGGGGTTGTATTAAATTTCATCTTAAACGCTCAAAAACTAAAGATATCATCTGGAAACTGTTTGCATGAATTTATTACCTTCACCTTTTGACCTCAAAATCAATGGGGGTCTTCTTTAGGCCATGGGGAGTTGTGGTATAAAACTGCAAATGCAAAAGCTCTTGAAAAGGCTTTTTAAGATATATTGTACGGAAACGAAAGTGTTCAACTCCGACAGAATGTATGAATATCTGACATTGAACTTTGACCTCAAAATTAATAAGGGTCTTCTTGACCAGAGGTAGCTGTAAAAATTTGATTTAAAATTACACCACAAAAAATCAACTGAAAATGAATTCATGCAAATATTCATAACTCCATTTTTTATATGTCTTTAGTCTATTATGATCAGCGTTGATATATATATATATATATATATATATATATATATATATATATATATATATATATATATATATATATATAAAACATTTAATACTAGAAATGTACTGCAAACGTTTATAGGTGTAACAATGAGCGAGTCAGAATCTGCCAAGAATCACATCTTCAATTTTTTCTTATACTAGTATACCAATAGCATCGTTTTACAAAGGGAGCAGAATCCTGTTTTATATTCAGCACAGAAAAAATGGGTATTATAATGTGGGGAGGTCAACCAAATGGCTAATTATGTGTGTGTGTGTGCGCGGGGGGGGGGGGGGAGGGGGGAATGAATTGGATGCACTAGCTACATGTGCAGGTCTGTGTTTGTCATACATATAGGCAAGTGTTTTTCTTGCTTGATAGTTGATAAATATAGTACAGATATATTTGTAAAGTACTTATTCCTATGACTTAACCATGCATTGCGTAATACATAGCACTTGAGTTCTGCATGACAGTGGTGTTTTGAACCCTGGACCAGGAAAGAATTGAATTTGATCCTGCTACAGCTAACTTTATGAGCAATACTCTCTGGATACAATTAAAACAAGGAAGTTTTTCCTCGGGTGAAACGGAAAAGGATGTGCCATATATGTTATATATAAATTATAGCTGGTCCTTGAAAAATAAATACTTCGAGACTTTGTGAGCTGCAATATGAGCTATTTTTAAACTGAAAATTTTCATTGAATGTTGAAAATTTTGTTCTGTCGATATGTGACTAACGGCTCAAGTTTGAACATTGTTTGGAGTTTTAGTTATTAAATTTTGTTGTTTACATGTCGATTTCACAATTAATGGATGAACAACAGCAAGACGATTCTAATTGCCCAATATGTGCTTATCAATTTTCCACTCCAGATAAAGTTCCGAAAATTTTACCCTGCTCTCACACGTTCTGCAGTCCTTGTATCGACAATATTATAGCCGCCACTCCTTCCAATTCAGATTCCTCTGTAAAGTGTCCAATCTGCAGGCAGGACGTCTTCATTCCGAAAGATGGGGTCCAGGGATTTTTTGACAATTATTTTAAATCCGCGCCACAACAAGAGGAGACGTGTGATATCTGTGGTGCGCGAGAGGTACGAAAGCTGAAGCATTGTCATGAATGCAACAGTATTCTGTGTAGCGTTTGCCACAAAAGTCACCATCACAAAGATGAGAAAAAATTCGGCGATTACGACGAGGACAGCGACGAAGAAAACGATGGTCATCGTGACTTGCGAATTCTTCGAAGAATTGGAAATGCTTATCGAAGTACTGTGAAGTCTGCGTTCTTCGCTTACCTCAGTACGTCATTCAAATGTAATAATTTTGAGCGTATTCGAAAGATAATTCCAGATGACAAAAACGAGTGCTGGGTTCTGACAAATAGACCATTCGTAGCTAAGTTTTCCCGAAATGGCCAGGAGATGTACCGAAAATATGTCGAAAACGTACTCCAGGACATAGCTCGATTTAGTGATGGTACACTTGTTTTAGCCTTCTCTAGTGGTGAAATTCTGTTGCTGCAGGGGCAAGAATTAAGCTTAGCTACAACCACAGAAAACAGCGTCCCCATCTCACTGTACGCGTACGATGATGGTCGTCTATTGATTGCTACGCGGCCTCACTCTAGTAACACCCATTTAAACAACAGCGGTCTATTTATCACGGACCAAATGCTGAAGAAGATCCAGCCACTCGACGTGAACTTTGGTCTTTATGAAGTGTCATCAATGACTGTAAATGAGAAAACCGGACAGGTCGCTCTCTGCGAAACGACAAAAAAGTGTGTTTATTTCGTAAGTACAGACAAAAAGTTCAAGTATCCTAAAGTGAAGAAATATACTGGAAAGAGGGGGCTACAAAGACTTGAGCAATCGGAAGATAGTATTAATATCACGAATAGCTACCCTTTCCAACCACGATCAATTGCAAGTGACCAGAATGACAACTTCTACATACTGGATGCAGGGACAAACCTAATCCATGTAGTGGACGAGGAAGCAACGTTTCAATCTATTGTTATAGCCACCATGTCTGGCAGTATAAGTTGTTTCAACGTGGATTCACATGAAAATTTGTGGATAGGCGACATCTCTGGTCAGATCAGAGTGTTCAGAATGGAGCGATACAATTTTCTTGGACCAGAAGAAACACGTATAGAGGTACCGATTGGTGGCGGTGGCCCGGTGTCTATGGAAGACCTCGGCAGGTTGGGTTTGCTAAGAGTTGGACGGTCAAGCTCGGGAGGATTAGAACTTCCTGAAGGGTTTGATCTTGGTAGTGGACTAAGGGAGATGTTATCTGGTTCGTCATCGAGTCGAGAGGAGCCGACTCGAATTCGAGACAATTTCATAAGAAACACATTTTAATTACCCAAATCCCAGTGTGTAAATAGAATTTGTACATACAACTTTTATAAAAAGACAAAATTGACTTTTAGATTGCTTATCTGCAGACTTGGTGTGTTCTTTAAAACATAAGTTTTGCAGTGAGTTAACAATAGTGCAGCATTGTAGTCCAAAATTTAGATTCCATTCCTAGACATTTCCTGGAAAACGACATGTTTGCACAATCTTCTTCCGTTATAATACGCCGCCAAAAGGAAGACTGAATCTATTGGAAACAATGTGTTCGAGAAGATCGGATGTAATTTTTTCCTTGTCTGCATTAGGGGTTGCGCACTGTTGAAAACCAAAGCAAGAGATTACAATTTAAACCATGCTTAACTCGTAACTTGCAACGATAAAATTAAATTCCTTAACATTAATATCTCAACTTCCGATGTTATTTCAACAAGGAGCAATTACAATCTAACGTTTCTAGAATCTGAAAGGACCAACAGATTACATCATGCTTGGCCAATGTTTAGAAGTACATATGACATGTAACATTCAATCTAGAATCTACGTGATGATTTTGTAACATTCAGAAAAGACAACGAAGCAACATGTAATAAACTTATTAATTATTACAATTTGTTGGCGTTATCTATGCCCTTTCAAATGGCAAATTCCCAAGAGATAAATGATTAAGTCCGTATGTGCATGGTTGCGTTTTTTTCCACTGTGGCGTACACAATGTGAAATATATAATTACAGTATATATGGCGCAAAGGGGAAGAAAAACCAAGTTTAAAAAAGACGTACCACACCTATATACATATAGGTGTGGTAGGTCTTTTTTAAACTTGGTTTTTCTTGACTGAGTGTCAGAATCTTTATTTTAACAACTTTTAAGTGTATTTAAAGTAGATTTAAAAAATTTTTAAATTTATTTTACATTTAACAATGCGGAAGACAAGCCCCTATGATATGGCGTACACAATGTGAACTCTCCCTCTCTCTGTATATATATTTATATGTATATATATATATATATGTTACGGCGCATCTTGGAAGTTAAGGGTCCAAAGATACTGATCAAAGGTACGTTCTGTCAAGATACTGTTTACCTTAAAGGTCAGAGTTCAAGGCTGTGACAATGTACATAATGTTCTAGAAACACCTCAAGAGTAGCATTTGACCTTTCATTCATACAGTACCCACTGAAAAAATTCTACATTGTCAGAGAAAAGCATTGATGTTAGTGTAACAAGGACAGACATCAAAAAACAAAAGCAGTATAATTTAATAAGCTTTTTGCTGTGTTTGAAGATGTAAATGTGTTTGGGAGACACACCCCCTTCCCCATTTTCAGAGAAAAAAAATTAAAAGCAATAGAATTTGTTTTTTTTAGAGACTGACAAGAAACATACAGCTTGCATTACTGAAGGACTCCCATAAAGGGGTTTCAACTACTGAAACACTAATCATCAAGAAGAAACAATTTTATTCTAATTCACATACCATAAAAACTAAAGTATTTGAACATGTAAATAGAAAATTCAAAACTTTTTGCTGTTAGAAAAATATAATATTTCCTTTTATCAGGATCACAGTTTCTTATTAAAAAATGGTGGATGGCCAAAGATATAAATATCAACAACATCCACTTGTCAACTTTGTGTCAGATTTAAAAAAAATCATTTATACATATAATCTTGAGAAATATTGGCATGGACTTCAAACTCCCCAATAGTATTGGTATTCTGTACTTCAACTGTCTCTGCATCATCTGTATTTAGAGAGGACCTCAAAAATTCCACAGCAGCTGCCGATTCCTGCAATCTGTCTGTGTCATCTGCTTGAGGTGAGTGGGATCTGAGGTGCTTCTTGAGGTCCCTATTGAAAATAAAGCCTTTCCCACAGATATTGCACAGATGGGGCCTCACTTCCTGGTGAATTCTCTGGTGGGCCCTCATGTTACTCCTATCGGAGAATCCTTTATTGCAGTAGGCACACTTGAATGGTTTCTCTCCTAAAATTAAAGGAAAAAGAAGAAAAAAATTCTTTGGACAAACACTATTTATTTTCATCATATTGGTTATCCCTATTTGTCTAGCACAAAAAAATCCATTATTGCAGTAGGCACACTTGAATGGTTTCTCTCCTAAAATTTAAGGAAAAAGAAGAAAAAAATTCTTTAAACAAACACTATTTATTTTCATCATATTGGTTATCCCTATTTGTCTAGCACAAAAAAATCCATTATTGCAGTAGGCACACTTGAATGGTTTCTCTCCTAAAATTTAAGGAAAAAGAAGAAAAAAATTCTTTAAACAAACACTATTTATTTTCATCATATTGGTTATCCCTATTTGTCTAGCACAAAAAAAAATGAAACTCAAAAAAGCTATGACTCTTAGAAATTGAAAACTTCTGTTATCAATATTTCATTTACTGTTGATTGTAAATATACCAAATAAAACAAACCTGTATGTTTATTCATGTGACTTTTCAAGTCACTCTTGTCTGAGAATAATTTTTGGCAAACTTCACATGTATAGACTTTAAAGCCATAACTGTTCACATCCTCCAGTTTAAGATGCCTAGAGACAAAGTGGGATCTAAGGTAATGTTCAGTTTTGAATGCCCTTCCACACTCTGGGCAGATCTTTGCTGGTTTGTCATTATGGTGGGTGAGTTTATGGGTGTATAAACCACACCTCTGATTGAAGGACATCCCACATGAATCACACATATAGGTCTTTTTATTCAGGTGGATTTTCTCGTGTTCTTTCTTCCCACTTCCTGTTATGAAAGCCAGATCACAGTACTTGCATTTAAAGGGCCTGGCTCCCAAATGTGACCGCTTGTGAGCAGCCAGGGACTGCCGAGCACGAAAGGATTTTCCGCAATCGTCACACAGGTAGTGCCTGTCATTGGAATGAGAGTTCATATGAAAAGTTAAATGACACTTTTCGGTAAAACCTTTGCCACAGATATCACAGATATGTGGAAGCTGTGCCAGGTGTTTTTTGGCGTGTCTGGTTAGACTGTCTTTTGAATTGGTGACAAAGTTACAAAACCTACATGGAAACATCCCTGTGTCATCGTGTTCCATTTTGTGACGATACAAGGCCATTGCCTTCTTGAATATTTGTCCACATAAATTACATGCAAGATCATTTGAACTCTTGTCACTCTGTGATGCAGAGGTGGGAATGTCAGATGATGTATTAATTTTAGAAGCACTTTCTTGTTCCACGTTTGTGCACTCAAAACGAGAAGAGCCTGTTTCCATGTCTTGTTGAACATAATGTAAGGATAACTCGCTCAGCTCACTACTCGGAACACTCATTCCACTATGTTCCACACTGATTTCAGCCATATTTTCTGAAACTGTCAATTCCTTGTTGGAACAAGAAACTTGATTGTTTTTATGCATTTCCAAATGCTTTTCGAAATTTTTCTGGTAGGCAAACACTTTATCACAAATCGAACAGTTAAAGCTAGTCTCCTCGGGTACCTCTGGGGCACTGCAGCTGTTCTTTTCTTTATGATATTGTAAAGCCTCCTCTGAATCGAATCCATGTCTGCAAGTCCCACATGAGTAGACCAGAGATACCTTATGAATAGCTGTATGGGCAGACAACTCCTTTTCAGTACGAAAATTCTCGGAACACACATAACATTTGAATATTTTTAAATTTTCATGACATTTCATATGTCTCTTAAGGGAAAAAACTGAACTGAATTGAACCTGACAAAGTTTACAAGTTCTACTTTCAACTTCATTTATCCCATTTTCCACATTCATATCATTCTTTGTATTAATACTACATTCAGGTTTTGAAGAACTTTTTCTTCTGGTTTCCAAAGCAGGTTTTCTGGACTGAAAATCATGAACACTAATATGCTTCTGTAGTATATCTCGCTTATTACATACAATGTCACAAATTTTACATCGAAGTTTCTTCCCTGCATGGATGACAACATGTCTCATCAAGGTTTTTCTACTCTTAAGTTGTTTGTCACAAAACAGACAGTTATGTCCCGATAACTTTCCTTTCTCTTCAGTTTTCCCATTTCCACATTCCTCATTCTCTTCAGTAGCATTTTCCCTTTTTCTCCTCTTTTCAACTAATTCAGCCCTCCTTCCTAATTTTTCTCTTGTTTGTTTATTCTGATTATTTATTTCATCTCCCTGAATAATTTTGTCATATTTACTCCCTTTCTGACCAGATCTTCTAAGATTCTTCCCTTTCCTTTTTAACTCTGATCGTAGTACAATTCTGACGTCATCATTCTTTTCTGTATCCTGTAAACCCCCTGATCTCTCCTTACTGTTATTCTGAACCCCTTTTTTGACGTCCAAAGACCTGGGGCTGCAGACATCATTCTTTACACTTATTACCTTATCTTTAGATTTTTCTGGGATATTATTACACATTGGTGCTTTGTTATTAGAATTCTCTTCCTTGGAAAGCTGCTCTGTACTTGAAGAATCTTGTTCATCTTCAAATGTTTCACTGGGATCAAAATCAGACACATTGTCGGCTTCAGAACTTATCTTGTTATTTTTGCATTCTCTATCAGTGTCCTCCAAATTTCCGTGTAAAAACGTTTCTGAAAAATAAAATACATTTCATTGAATTAGAACTTGTTCTCTCCTAGCTTAAACTGCTTGTGGGCTACACATCTAATAAAATATCAAGACTAACATTGCCATTTTAGAATTCTACCTATGCCATCTTTTATGCAATGTCATTACATTCTTTGCATAGGATGTGTGCAAGAAGATCATATGTTGACAATGATTTATGCATAGAATTTTTCTTGGAAATGAAAGAACAAAAAAAAAAAAAGCAAAACAAAAAGAAAACAAAAAATCATCATCCTTTTCACAGACTATGATGAAACAAATCGTTTTACTTTCTTAAAGGATGAAGGAAAATCTCAAGTGCAAAGAAGATAATTGATTTCATTTCATTTTAAATCTTGTACTCTTGTATAAATAATATATAAATTCCAGTTGAATTGTACCTATATCGTTAATAACCAATCTACTTGTATCTTCTTCTTGGTTTTCTTCATAAACTATTTTATCTGCTGCATATGTATCTACAAGAAAAAAAATCTGTTTAGGTTTAATATGTTGTTATATTTAATGAAAAATGACTCTTTTTCTTTAAGTTTTTTTTTGCAGATTATACTAATCAAATACTGCATAAAACAAATATTTTTCTGTGTGATGCATGTTAGAAGGGAAAAAACCCAAACAAACCCTATACTCTTCAATAAATCAATATCAAGTAAATAATTCCACATTAATTTACCTGTACAGAAACTGATGAAACTTTTCACTGTATTCCTGTTCACTAAGAGAAAGTTCCTGCCAACACCACTACTACAATGGTAAATTTTCTGATTTTTTGGATCCAAGGATAATACTATAGAGGCATGATCTGCTGTCTCTAGCATGGAACACTAAACAAGGAAAATTTGACATAATTAAATGTACACACCAATAAAACATACAAATAATTATGAAAGCATAATATTAAAAAAAAATAATATTCCATGCAACAGTATTAAATATCTTATTTCTGTACTTTTTGAAATAGCCATTACTAGCTTCTTTTGAAACAAGAGGCACATAGGCCACAACACTCACCTGAGTAACTGTGACCCTGCTGTTCTTGACCTGATTTCCCCCTTTTATTACCTATTCCCCCCCCCCCCCCGGGTCATGATTTGAATAATTTAGAAATGAGAATCTACACTACCCCAGTATGCTTCCACTAAAGTTTCAGATTTTCTAGCCCAGTGGTTCTTGAGAAGAAGATTTTAAAAGATTTTTCCTATATATTTTAATGTTAAACTTAGATTCCCTAATGTGGCCCCATCCTACTCCCAGGGGTCATGATTTGAATAATTTAGAATTTACACTACCTCAGGATGCTTCTACATAAGTTTCAGCTTTTCTGGTCCAGTGGTTCTTGAGAAAAAGATTTTTAAAGATATTTTCTACATATTTCAATGTAAAATTTGGATTGTTATTTTGGCTTGCCCTACCCCAATGGGACATGATTTGTACAAGAATCTACACTACCCCAGGATGCTTCCATTTAAGTTTCAGCTTTTCTGGCCCAGTGGTTTTTGAGAAGATTTTTTAATGATCCCACCCTATTTTTGTCTTTTCTTGATTATCTACCCTTGGAAGGGGGCTTGGCCCTTTATTTTATCAATTAAACTCCCCTTCACCCAACAATGCTTTGTATCAATTTTGGTAAAAATTTGCCTAGTGGTTCTTGAGAAGAAGTTGAAAATGTGAAAAGTTTATAGACTGACAACAGGTGTTCAGAAAAGCTCACTTGAGCTTTCAGGTGAGCTAATAAAAAAGCACAATGTTTTGAAACTACTGGAATTTTGCCTTTTTTCTCAGAGATTATACTCCATTGTCATATTGTATAATAATATCCACAATTAACAGTCACAAATATTACCAGACTGGATATCGAAGAACCAATTTCATCCATTTTGTACTTGGTCTCCATGTTGCTGAATTAGTATTGATGATTGACATGAATCATTCTGAAAAATTGAAAAGACATTTTTATTCCACGATGTTCACACTTCTGGCAAGTGATATTACGAAAGCTTGATATATAAGGTAAGCAATTCCAGTCCTGATCAACCAACAACTTACCAAAAAAGGATAGCACAGATTGGTATATTCCAAGGCTTAGACCCATGTCTTCCCCATCATCACCTGCAAAAAGTACCTTACATGTATTGATATAGAATAAATGTTCCTTATAACCTTACCTTCATAGATCTATGTAAATCTTTATGCCACATGTAAAATATTTAGTGCCTGTGTAAGGCACATTTATTTGTTATGTATTCACCACCAAGTTTTATTAAAATTTGACAGAAATTTTAAGCAAGCTACCTAGCTAACAGATGACAAATCTACCTGACCACCATATCTCTGCTTTTTAATTGTCTTCATTACCTTACTCTCACCTGGCAGTTTTTTTTTTATACACTCAGTTCTAGTTACAGTAGACGTCACGAAATACAGTCAAACCTCATTATCTCAAACTCGATGGGACCGAGAAAAAACTTTGAGATATTCCAGGGTTTGAGATATCGAGGGTAAAATACTTAAATATGTAGTAAGGAATTCCCAATTACTTCGACAAATCCATGGTATTCGAGATATCCATGTTCGAGATACCGAAGTTCAACTGTAATACAGGGATAAGTGAGAGTGTATAACAGATTTTACATACTCCCCATTTTTCTGATTTTGAACAGGTGCTCTTGCAACTGAACATCACCATCTCTAACTATCTGCAGGTGCAGTCCAAAGATTATTTCTACCTATGTATCTACATATAGCTACACAGACCTACTCCAGGTAGCTATTTTTAGCTTTACTTTTTGCTTTACTTGCATTTCATGGCCAAACGCAGGAACAGCACAATATGGTGATTACCAAATTTCTAGATACAGTCACACTGACAATAAATACAACAAAAAATTTGGCCAAAAAATGATTACGTTCTAACTTATCAATTTTGCATCGAAAATTACATCCAGTTTCATTTTCTGATAGCTAAGAATCAAAACTAAGTCTAAAATGTCTTCAAATCTGTATCAATTTAAAACTTATCTTCATGCATTCTTAGATAAAATGTTTTTGGGATGATTTTTCATGCTTTTCCTCTCCATTCTCCACCGGCCTTCATAAAGTTTTCAAATTAACACCCTGAATTTTGCAGTGCAAGTGCACAAAATGATAAACCACAAGTTTGACCTATTCTAAATATGCCCCTCAATTATTATTTCATTTTACTTTCAAAGATAGGTTAAATTCATTATATTTTCAAAGATACGTAAAAGTAGGTGTAAGTAGCTACTTCAAGTAGGTTTAAATACCTAGGTAGCTATTTATAGATATGTAGTAGAAATAATTAATCTTTGGACTGGACCTGATCTGATCATGATCAAATGCATATGATGAGGTCTAACACTTTAACTTATGGTGGCCACAATCTGCAACATGATGTGGTTACCCATCTAACCGAAGGTTTACCATGCTAATTGTAGCTTAATCTGCATGAAATGGACAGATGGAAGGAAACTTTACGGCATCACTTGAAAATCCAGATCACTTACTAGTGAGGCAGTGTATGTACCCTACGGGCCTATATAATATTTACTGTCCACTACAAATTATAAGAACAACAACCACGACTGTTGAATGGAGCACATATATGAATATAATCTGCATTCTGTGCAGGTTTCCTGGAGTTTTAAATAGATCTTATATTAAACGAGTTAAAAAAAAAATAAAAGGGGGGGGGGGCTTGGTATTTTCATGGGCAAAAGAATTAAGGCTTGAAGAAATCTAAAGTTACAATAGAAAATTTGATCAAGCACTGCATATCTTAAATATGAAAGTATATAATATAAAAATATGCAATGCATAAAATACAGGTCTCTACAGGTAAAAATTAAGGAAATTCGAGCTGAATACATGGGTTTGTGTGATTTTTTTTAAAAATAGAAATTAGTTTCAAGTATTTGTTAATGACATAAACTACCTGCCAAGATGAAAATGTTGAAAACTGAACACGACTAAACAACTTCAGTGAACTTGTACCCTTTGCCTACGGTGCATGCAATTTTCGGATGACATCTGTCTTTTTTAAAAAGGGTAAGAAGTTCCGATGGACAAATTCAAAACATCCGCATGCGCAATTAACCATTTTAAAGATGGCGGAAAGTTGAAAACTTTCAAAGAACAGAAAGAAGCATGATTCTACCTTGATAAAACCAGGTTAAAAAGAATGAACAGATCGAAGTTGTACAATGCAACTTTACCGTTAAGTGCTGATGACAGGTATGTAATGTTTTGATTTTAAAATATACTTTGAAAATTTGAAAAAAGAAACTAAATATTGTATGACACACCTTTGAAAAACTAACGATCATTAGCATTTTGTTTCCCACTTAAGCCTTCACTCAATTGTATCAGAAGAGCCAAAGTCTAAATATAAAATTAGGAATTTGAAATATGGGTAAAAAATGTTACAGAAATTTTATTATTTACGTGGATCAACCAGAAAAATAGCATACCAATTCAACCATGTCAACCAACTAAAAAGTAATAATTGTTTTATTACATAGTATCGAATATCAAATTTACTGAAGTCTCCTAAAAACACTTCTTCAATAACTTCTGTTGCAGATAGGTCCAACAGTTCAAATTGTCTAGTTTCCAAAGGTGTCTTTAGATAATTTATCCTTCGTAGATTTGCCAGAAAGTTTTTGTGTTAGTTGCTCAGGTCGCTCCAAACATCACAGCAATTGTTTACAGTTATTTGAGGTGTCCTTTGTGATGTTGCTATCACTTTAGATATGATTTGGTTGAGTCAATGTGATGTTTCAGGATGGTCTATATTTGCTGCATGTGTATGACCTAGTCTTGGGATTCAGTATTGGTTGTACCCTTGGGTTGGTTGTGGCCTACCTGATCATTGGTTTCTTCAAAATTTGTACAGTCTTGATGAAATTCTATTCTTCAGAAGCTAACTTGTCTTGTTTCAATCTAATGTTTTATTGTTAAAATGATACTGTCTTACGGACCTGCATCCTCACAATGCCAGGGGTCTGGAATCCGCAGGTGGTCGTTGAACCCCAGAGAAACTTCATTTGATATTTTAGGGCTGACTGCAGTGATGTCTTTCAGGGAAATTACAAATCTTTATTGTTTTTTTAATCTCTCTACCAATCACATTAAGGCTTTTCATGATAAACAACTTGGAACACGTGCATTGAGGTGTCATATCTGTTTTCTTTCTGTTCACATTTTTCAAAATAAAGGAAAACTGGAGACCAACACCATAAGGTTGAAAATGCGGAAGATTCCCATGTGTGGATACTGAACGGTATTCAATAGGGTCTCCATATATATCAGTACTACTAATCATGGCTTTGCTGTACTTAAACAGAAGAATTTTAAAGATTTTTTTCCCCAATGTTTTCCGATGTAAAACTGATCTCTCATTGTGGCCCTACCCTACCCACCCTAAATTTGAACAAATTTATACTACCTGAGGATGCTTCTATATTAATATGACTAATCATAGCTTTGCTGTTCTTAGCAGAAGATATTTTGAAGATGATTCCTATATATTCTTATGCAAATCTTTGACCCTCTGCTGTACCCCCAACCCCTGGGGGTCACAATTTGAACCAAAGAACTTAAGGAACTATTTTATTAATCATAAAACATACATATTTCATTTATTTCCTGTACCTTAATTCTTATGTCATAAAAAGTTTCAGAGACAATGTAAACTGAAAATATAAATTGTATAAAATATAACTGTTTAATAAGCAGATTTTCATAGGTACAAAACCTTTCACATTTTATTTTGTAACATAATGACAGCCAAGTCTGTTCAGTTAAGACTGTGTAGATTATTCACTCTGTGTGATTAAATAACATATTAACTATTATGGACTTCAGTGAATGGTCAATATGTGGTTATAAGGACCCATGTCAAGAGATATTGACCTCAGACACAGAAAATGATAGCGACCGGGCTGTGTCTGAGGTCAATATCACTTGACATGGGTCCTTATAACCACATATCGACCTACACTGAAGTCCATAATTGTATAATACTGACATTTCTTTTTGCTGTGCATTATGGTATCAGCATGCTTAATTATTAATTTCATTGCTAGCTGCATTTAATATAGCACATGTCATTTGATTGATAATTAAAGATGATAACATCCTTACACCGTTCATTGAATTTAGTCAGAGGCATCACAATTATTTTTTACCTAAAAGTAAACCTCCAGAAATGCTTAAGGTAATGTTGAAATGGTAACTTTCACTTGTGAATATTATGGTCTAGATATTTATTTCTGAGGTAAATTGAGAAATATTGACTGGTTACTTTTCATTTCACTGTATTAAAACATTACAAAGGCACACAATCTAGATAAAACTGAAGTCAATAATATAAGTACATGTACTTTCATTTATTAGGAAAAAAATAACTGAATTTAGTTATGTCCCTGAATGCTATAGAATTTATCTTTTTTTTTATGTGTTTAAATTGAAAATAAACATGATAAACATTTGCTTTCTTAGGTTTGATACTCTGATAAGAGAGATAACTCTTAATGACATATATCTCTATTACTCTTTTATAAATAGATTTGTCAAGTTGAAATGTCTTTTTTGTTTAGTTTTGCCCAGCAAGCTATTGTATAATTGTTTGTACTTTACTTATAAAATACATTTCTTTTGGAAAATCAGAAAAGTTCAAGCAACATTTCATATGATTGAGCAGAGGGTTTATGAACCTTAATTGATTTAAGTATAATGTACATGTACAAAATGTGAAGTATTATAATTAATTTTATTTCTTCCATCTTTACTTGTTAAAAGTAGAGAGTTCAGTATATACTGAGCAATGTCACTTGTCTGACACATCTAGGAAGTGAGAGTCTGGTCCATTGGATATAACAGGTTTTTGTACTTTATTTTTGTATTGGTTGTGCTGTGCAAAATGCAGATCTGGTGTAAAGATTAATGATCTCTGTCAACCTATTTAGTAAAGCATTGAGTTCTTTTGTTAACTTGTTAGGTGATCTATTCAAAGTAAAATCTTCCAACGTCATGCACAGTAAATTTTTTCATCATCAGTATAGACTTTGGCCTTGAGCAGAGGAAAACACGGACCTCTGAAAACAGAGGTGGGATCAGGTGCCATGGAGGAGCAAGCATCCCCTGTCAAGGGGTCTAACCCTTGTCATGATGGGGTAAATGGAAAATCCGTACACAATTCAGTATGGAATATATGACCTAACAATAGTATGTTTGAAAGACGCTCAACATATGACCTATTGATTCCTTATTCATTCAGTTATTTCACCTGATAAACTTGTTTCATAATGGTGTTTTATTTATTTATCTTCATATATGCTGCCATTTTCTACTTTTGTCGTTGTATTACCATGATGTTTTTAATACAGTATGGTAAAACATGAAATAAGTCATAAATTGAACACTATATTAAAAAAATATTTTTTAGTAATTCTGTAAATTTGGTGCAATTGTTTCTGAAAAACATTCAAGTGAAAGAAAAACTGTTTGTTGCATGTATGAACTTCTGTGTTTACAAGAATAGCTTGTATTATATAGATGATCAGATTAAGAATAGAAAAACTATAACCCAATTGAGAGGCCTTTGGACATTTGACTTCATCATTGAACCAGATAGATTTTCATCAGATTTATCCAACGGACTGTAAAGTTGCTTTTGGAATGGACTGTTAGAGTAATGGTTGGGGGAGGGGGGGGGGGGGGGGATTGGCGATGACAGGTTGTTCATAGGATTGTATGGGCGTAGAAATAATATGGTTGAAAGTGCTTAAGTTTTATGCATAGGTGTTTTAACTCAAAAAAAAAATTGGGCTGTAGTGTCTTATAGCTGTTAGCATGAATAAATTAGATGTGTGTCAATATTTCAATTTATATTTCTTTTATTTGAGAATTTTACTACATGTCGTTTGCTGAGTTTAAGTGGCTGAGCTTATCATGAAAGGTTTCTTCATTTTGATGATGGATGCCAGGAAAAATTTCTTTCCTGACGTAAATGAAAACTATTTTTGTAAGTTGAGAAATCGTCTGAAAAGACTCAGTTGCTCATCTGCAAAAAATTATCATTAATAGTCAAGCGATAAGTATTCCTTTGGAAATTCTCTGATTTTCAGACAAAAACCCAGGGACATGTAATATATGTGCATTTTGAAAATTTTAATCAAATATAGCAAAGTTTGTTCCCTGGGTAAATTTTCTGCTATAGACACCTTCATCACTTGTTATGTTCTTTCGTAATGGCTTTGTGCACTATAGGAGTGTTCCTGGTCAGCTGTGTAACTGAGAAGATCATTTCTTGGCTATTGATCTGAACAGCACCCTGTGGAGTCCTTGGCATTTAGACACCAGCCAGTCAAACAGCACATATAATTTCATACATACACATACCATTGGCACATTGAATGAGATAGCCCAATTACCAGCTACATAGATAAAGACACTGGTATCATCATGCTCTTGGATTCAGCAACACTAGGGGTTACCCAATCATAATCTGCCAAGAATTGAGAACTATTTATATCTTTTGGCTGGTGTGTGTGTAAAACTTGTGTCATTCAATTGTGAATATCCTGTGAAAACTTTAGGAGTGAAGGATGTAACTTCCTGTAGGTTGTGTCAAATCAAAATCTTGCACATGTGTGCTTGTGATTCAGGAGTTACTGATTGTGATGTGGAACAAAATAATTCTGGGAATTACGTAGTAAATACAGGGATATTTTTATAGGAGTAAAGGTTTGTGTATTTTGGTTATTGATATTGGGAGTGTGAATGGTATTTCATTCATTTGACCACTCCTGAACATACAAGATTCTGAAAACATCTTGTTAGTTTCATGTATACATGTGGCCTGTGAGTTTGTTTACAGCATGTAGTTTTATCTGGGTCAGCCTCCAAGTATACTTCTTATCTTCTTCAGACATCAGTTTCTTTGTGAAAAGAAAACCAGTATTTCTAATCTATTTGCCTTCCCCCTAATTTCCTGATAATGGTTTAATTGAATTTGGTGCGAATCCCAATAAAAATAGTTCCAATGGGAAAAGAAGTTTTTGTAGCCAGATTTGATGTTGGTAGACTGAGTGTGGTTTTGGGGGAAGAATGGAGAAGGATTCATGATCAATTCACAAAGGTGATGGAGTTTATACTGTTATGTTTTGTTTCTGGGGTATAAGAATGGGGTATTAATTTGGGAATGACTTGGCGTGTGGCTGTGCTTTTAATATGCCTGATTGAGATCATTGGTTCACAATAGATGTAAGCCGATACTGTCAAAAGATACTGTCAATTTGGCAATATGGGGGCCTTGTGCCACGATCAAACCATTTAGTTCAGTTGTTGTCATGTGTCATTGGCAGACTTTAGCACATGGCTTTGTTTCAAAATAAAACATGATTCAAGATTAATATTTGGGTCTTAAGAAATCTACTTCCAAAATAATATTATCAAAGTAATGAAATATCTGAAGTTAAATGGTGTCATAACATTACCCATGTGATCGTTAGACTGATCGTGTGAAAAATGTAATTAACAAGTTGGAGAACGAAATTGAACATTGGTTATTAATTATTGGACAGATGGTGCCATCTGGGAAAAGACAACTTAAGATACAAGACAAAAAAATCAATCATATGTGATGCATGTTAGAAAAGACAAAGGTTTTTTTCCGAGGATGGACAAAGCAGGAAATATTTAACTGATGACTGCTTGCAACTTCCTATACAATGTCAAGGACACTCAAAACTTCATTGTGTGTGTAGCTTGTAAACGTGTCTCAGATATTGGAATTATAAGTATTTTGTCATGATAGGGATTAAGGTAGGACAGAAATAGTAGATTTGTGATTCATTGTGTAATATTGAGTTTTGTCAGTTGTTACAATTTTCCTCATGATGATGCTCACGAAGTACACGATTTGTGTGTGGGTGTCATGTGCAAGGTTCTGATTGAGCTTTAACTAAGCATCAGTTTTATCTTTGCCTAGTCTGGCTATATTTGAAGTTGAAACTTCTCAGAATTATGTAATATGCTGAATGACTGGTTGGGTTTTTATTGATTGTGTTTTGAAGTAGGGGAATAAGACATCTCTGATTTCTGATTATTGTTGCTCAAGCCATATAGTGTCGACTCAGAGAGGTGGAATTTTTTTCATAAAGTCACAAAATTAATACACAAAATTGGTAGTTGATTACACCAAAAAATTCAGCAATGGTGAGAAATGCTTAGAAAATTATTCCATTATTGAGCTAACCCCAAGATTGCAAGTCATATTCTTGTATCAGCTACATAATTACATTGATTGAGAATTTATGAGAGAAAAAAATAAGGTGTTGAAAACCACCAAAATCACTGCAATGTGGAACTGCTATTCAGCAATAAGTATGCAGTGCAAAAACTTAAAGTAGATTTCAAATCTTCTACATTGTCAGGAACAATTCTTTTTTCTACACTTCAATTGCCCTTTTGTTTCTAATATGTACCATAATAATTTCTGTACAGAATGTTTAAGTTTTTTGTATGTTTTGTAGTTTGAACACAGATAAATTACAAATGGATCTAAACTCTGGACCTTACTTAGAGTACCCTGATGGGACTGTGCCAAGTAAGTAGGAAAAATGGTACAAAATTCACTATAGTAGAAAGCTATTTTATTAGGTTACTATCATGAGCTGATTTTCAATATATTCATTAGGTCTCTTTTTGGGTAAAACCTTGTGTGGATTCATGATACATGTATGTATAATGTAAATACAATAAAGTATTTTTGTTTCAAATATTAGAATCTTTGGACTTTGAAACTTCTCCCTAAATTTCTCGGAGGGAGAAGTAACGTCTCCTTAAATTTTGGGTCTAGGTTGGTTACTGTATAGTATCTTGAAATCAAAAGAAACTGTGTTCAGTATGGAAAATTATTTTATACAAAGAAATGACAATGTTCCAAAAATTATATTTTCTGTTTGATATTTTTTCCCAGTGGTAACCAAGATGAACACAGGGCGGATGTCACCAGTTCGGTCCAGGACCATGAAGGAATATGATACAGTAAGATAGCAGGCCACAAATTATCAAGTCTTTTTACATTACCTATAGGTCTTAATCTTACCTATCTCTTTTCCTGCATAAGTTTCTCATTAAAAAATTGTTGTTGTTATTAGAGAAATTATTAATGGACATGTATCAGCATTATGTTCATGATGTTTATACATTAATTTGAATGCATGAGTTTTTTTTAAGAAACAGAGATGAGTTAAAAGAAAAAAAAGAGAATAAGGATTAAAGTTAAAGATTTTGTAGTTAGTTGTAGTTAGTTGACAGATATCATGAAATTTCTGTATGTTTACAATCAATGGATGAAAGAGAAAGAGGTACTGTGGTTCACCACTGAATGTAAGACAAATAATAAAGAATGTGGTACTGTTGTATATATGCAATAGTTAATCAAATTTCCTTTTATTTTTACTTAAAACAGCAAATAACAGAATTAAAGAAAGAAAACTTTAATTTAAAACTGAGGATTTATTTCATGGAGGAGAGAATGCAGCAAAGGCTAGGAGATGGAGACGATGTGTTTAAAATTGTAAGATTTTCTTTTTCTTTAAATTTTCAGTGTCTGGCATAAGTATATCGATTATTTATAAAGGCTTTGAAAAATAGGAACCATGTCTTTTAAAATAAGAATTTTTGCAGAAAATGATACTTATGTCTATATTTATAGAATATTGAACTAAAAGTAGAAGTGGAGACCTTAAAGAAGGAACTGAAAGAAAAACAAGAATTATTGAAAAAAGCCTCGTAAGTATTTTATATGTTAATCATTGGTTGGTTGATTCTTCTGCAATGTCTGTAATGTTAGGTGTAAGAGATACTGACCAAATGAGAAAAGATTGTGCATCAGCTGTGACCAAAGTCCTTATCTCCTCTCTGTAAAGAAAAAAAACTGCAGAGTATTATAAATCAGGAATAAGTGAAGGGATGAACAAAGTCATTTTATTTTATTTTTCCCTAGTGAAGCCATAGAAACATTGTCCACAAAACGTGAAGAAGACCTACAAGAAATGCGCCGAGAAATGGAGGAGGAAATGAATGAAGTCAGGCAGAGGCTGGAAGAGGAAGTGGAGTGTAAAAAGAAGGTGACAAGAGATTGAGAGATTGTGTCAATTGTTTTTTGGTTTTTTTTTTATTTGTGGGGCCTGATTGATATCTTGCTTTATTGATTAATAATCATGTTTCCTGAAATGACTTGTATTTGAGATGGAGAGATTACTGGTATTTCTGTTAATTTGTTGTGTTTGATTAATCTTTTATTGTAATAATTATTAATTTTATTATATGTTGAACAGACGAGAGGTTGAAATGAACCATTTATTACTTCATCAACCCAAAATAGGATGCAGAAAATAAGACGATACCTGTCAATTGATTACAGAGTTTATTTAGTTTGTTGTAAATTTATGTGATTTCCTGCTTTTTTATTCTGTCAGGAGGTTGAAGCTTCCCAGAAGTCCCTACAGGAGGCTACTCATCAGCTGGCTGACCTGGAGAACCGGAATGAACAACTTCTAATGGAGATTCGGCAACTGGAACAATCCAAGGAGATCCAGATGCAGGTATGTTGGAAAATAGAAGATGATAAGTCACCTATAATAAAAATGAAAGTAAAAAATAAGTTTCGGGCTTAGTTTTAGGAGAATCAACAAAATTATTCAAGAAATAGTATGGAGCATATAAAATATACATGTATAAATAAGTGAAGATACATATAAATTGATTGCATGGAATTCATAATAAATTGATTAAAATTTATCCATTTTTTAATGCAATGCTTTAATTTTTTATATTCAGTCATTAAAGGAAGATTTGGATGCACAAAAAAGGTAAGGCTTATTTACTTGTACATGGCTGTCTATCCAATGGAAGTGTATTAGTCATTTGTGGTTGTGGGGAGATTGAATTTTTTTTTTTCATCTTTAAGGGAGCTGGAAGCTCAAATTGAGGAGAATCAGAAGAACTTAGGACAAGCGGACCATCTTCAGAGGATTAAAGAGGACCTAGAGGAAAAAGTGGAAATGTTGGAGAAAGAGTTGTCAAGAAAAGACCGGGATATGGAGGTTTGTGCACAGTTTTTGGATATTGTACATTCTGTGAATAAAACTCACTGCATTTTAGAAAGACATGTTTGATTTTTCACTTTGTGCATGGAAAGTTTGTAGTAATCTATAATTTAAAGATAAAAATTTTCATTATTCTAGAGAGTTTAACTTGAAAATTCATATTGAATCAAGTGCCAAAAACTTTTGAGTGTGCATTTTTAATGCAAATAAAGGTGTAAACTTCACATACTAATGCAGGGAAAAAAATCTTAAGAGTAAGAAGCGCTTTATCTTAACGTAAATCCATCTCTTTTTTTTTTAATAATGAATCATCTTGGAATAACTTCTTGATGCTGATCATTTTAGGATATTAGAACCAAGTAGCTAGTTTGAGAATTTTTCAATAGGGATTGAATTATGTTTGCTTCTTGTTTTAATTTTTACATTGATGTTATGGTTTGAGATAAATAGGGGCAAAACTGTAAGGAAATAGAATTATATAGTTGTTGAATGTTTTCATGTGAATGTAAATTGTAGATAGTCTCTTTCCTCCATGCCCGGACATGATTATTTCTGATCATCACTGATCATGTTTGTTTTCTTTCTCTCTGACATGCAGCATTTGTCATGTATTGTCAAAGACACCACACAGGTAGAAAGTGAGTCCTTCCTGGCCCCCCGCCATTTACAGGTGGGTCTCATCAGTAATTACGCTAGAATTACCAATGGTAGACGGGCCTTATCTGCACCCACTAACATTCACAGTAGAGCAATCCTATCTAACATTGCAGTAGAAATGACCACTTACTGGCACCTTACATGTATTTATGTTTATTGTATATTTATTAAAAAATTCTATTGTATATTGATACGTAATTATTATTTTCAGGTTAATCTTGGCAAAGACTTAATGTCATTAATTCAGATTATTTACTTGTAATTTACAATGTTTAAAACTTTTTTTGTTCAATTTGTCCTTATATGAATTGACAATGAAAAAAGTTATGTATTTGATTAAATATTTTCTTAAAAAATGGTATTGTATAAATACTTGCATAGCAGATTATTTATTACTGTACATGAAAAATAGGGAAGGATATCTTTCAGAATACAAGGAATTTTATTTTGAGAATAGGATATTAAACTTTGTTCTAAAGATCCCAGGGTGAAGTAAAATAAGAAAAAAAAACTGACCAAAGCATGTATACAACATTGTTTTTATTTAGCAATATCCATGCTTTATTAGTTTTATTTTTTTTTTTTCAACAGTCCTTTTAATATCACAGCTAAAAAATTATAGTCACTTTTATGTTGGCTGCATGAGTAGGAACATAAACTTATATTTACTTCTTGGTTGATGTTGATTGTGGTCTATGGTTTATTGTCCTATTTTTGTATCTCCTTTCTTTTTTTCACATCACTCCTTTTGTTTTCATTAACAAACATTTTAAGGTAGAGTTGGTAATTTATCATTAAACTTCATGAAGAAGTAGTCACACTTTAGAAAATTATTAGCTAGACAGGTAATGCCGTTTGTGGCTTGAGTAGATTTTTGCTTTTTTCAATATGTTTGACATTTTGAGCTCATCTCAACAAAGGAGAATCACTATACTCTTGATATTGGCTTTACTTTATCAGGTTAAAGTTTGGGAACCAGATTCATTTTCAAGTAACATTTAGCCCCTATGTGTATTGCTTGATTCAGATTAAAGATGAGATGCAATTTGTCTTATATACAATATCTGGTAATTTATCCTAGACTCAACAATTGTGGATTACATAGTTACTTAGGTCTCACAGGTAAACAGTATTATCTAGACCCCTAGCCAATCCATACCTTTTAATGAGAAAAAAGTAATGCATCTTAACAAAATCAAAGATTCATTGGGTATGAGACTTTGCCTTACCTATATGCAATATTTGTTGAGGTGAGCAACCATGTATGTAGTATTTTCTCAATGCCCAAAATGATAAAAAAAAAATTCATTTAATGCTTTTGATTTAGTTTCCTAAGACTATACCAAGACTGTATTTGGTGATCGCTTTTAATTTGTAGTGTGTATGATTAAATACATGTATCACTTTATTTTATTTTAGAATTTTTTAGTTATTGAATTCACAATATTATTCTGGAAGAAGAGTTTCTAAAACCCAAATCTGTGTTCGAGATGAACTATTTGTTTCTAAACTCCAAATTTGTGTTCATTGTTAGGATGAAGTGGATGATCAAAGATCTGAATTAGATACCTTGAAAACTAAAGTGGAAGATCTGAAGGAGGATGCAGAGAAAAAGAATGAGATGATTGGAGTAAGTATGGGTTATTGGTGTCCATAAGAAGCACTTAGAGCTTTTTTTGGGGGGGGGGGGGGGCTAAACAGAAATTCTTTGACAAAAGAAAAGGTCTTCAGACATTATTATTTTGGGGGCACAACTGTAAATTCATGAAATTAGCTGTTTTTCTGTTGTTTAATATATATTGGTTAATTATTTTGGGAAAGCAGGGGTGAGTTACACCAACAGTTTCTAACTCAAGAAACACTGGATTTTTATTTTAGAACATATGAATTTTATTTTAATTATAAAAAAGAGGGTTGTGAATTCTTTAGACAGAAGGAATTCTGAGATACAGTACCACATGTTGTATGTGAATTAGGTCACTTTCTCTCATAAACTAAATTTTAATTACCTTGCAGAAACTTGAAGATCTGTTGAAAGCAAACGAAGAAGAAAAGAAAGTAAGTGTTGATTTTCGCTGTCCATGCTAAGGTCAGAAGACTTAATTATATATAATTTTTCCCAGAATTTGAGATTGAAGTATTTAACTATTCCTGAAATGACTTCAATGTAGTGTAATAGCTAAGAATGATTTAAAATTTTGTGTTTTTATTTGTAGGATGCTTTGAGGAAGTTAAAAGAGGCAGACAACAAATTAAAAAAGCATGAAGACTTACAACCAGTGTGGAACTCCACTGTAAAAGGTCTACACCAGGACCTTAGGAAGAGAAATAAAGAGGTCAGAGGTCAACAATTGAATCATTTAAATTTGTGGGGGTGTAGGGGGTCAATGTTCATGGACAACCAAAATTTTACCTATTCGTGAGGATGTTATTTTGTGGGTGATTTTTTTATACAGGAGATTCAGTGAACTGATACATTGACTAAGATTTCATTCATGGGGATGTAAATTTGAGGATAATTTGGTAAGCCATGGGTTACACACAAAATCCATGAGCATTAGTCCCTCACAAATGATGATTCCTCAGTGCATGAGAGGTTTATATAGGCTATGCCTGCTGCCCATCCATTTATGTTTCAATATTTACATTTCCAATGTCTTTGTCCGAGATAAAATTTCAAATAGTAAAAATACTTTATTTCTACATAAATCTACTGGTTCATCGAAAGGCGTGGTGAAAAAAAATCATGTGCGGGGCGGGACAAACAGAAGCGGGGCTTGTAGCACGCAGCTTGTAGCATGTGGCAGAATCAAGAGCATGTAAATATAAGGAATAACTGTCAGATTTTTTGGTTTCATGACGATGATCAATCGATTGGCTTGCGTGATAATTTTATGCATAAATGCCTTTGGCGTTTATGCAAATTATCACGCAAGCCAATCGCTTGATCACATCATGAAACCAAAAAATTAGACAGTTATTCCTTAAGAACATAATAAAATATGTTCAAATCCAAAAAAAAAAAAAGTGCATGAATTGTATAATGAGGAGGAAAAAGATCTTACTGTGTTTTTTTTTCTCTTTCTCTTTACTACATGTACCTCATTTTGAAATTTAAAATATGGAATGAAATGCTGAAAATATACATGAAATATAAAAGTTGGGATCCTTTCAAAACTGCGGAGATCGTTTTGTATGTTTACATTAATAATACTGTGATACTTTCCCTTTTTAAAGGGCTTTCTTTTTAATTTAACGTATTTGGAAATTCAGGTACCAGTACATTTCATGTGAGAATGATTTGAATTGCACAAATTTCAGATTTGTTGAAGTGCTTAGCACAGTTTTGTGAAGTGGTAATTAAGAGTTATTCCCCTTAGGTTGCTTCTCAGATAATGATCAATTAAATGCCTGAGAGGAAAAAATATGTTTGTTAATTTCACTGTTACAATTATTTTATCACAATGAGTTTTTCTGACTAGGTATATCTCATTATTTTCATTTTTCACATCATGTAAATGTATTATATTTAACACTAGAAGAGGCACAGGAATTAAAACTTGGTTATTAATACAGATCATATTATGTTCAATATTTCATAACTGATTAAAAAAAGAAAAAAAATGTTTTTCCAATAAAGTGTCTGTATTATTATCAGTTTCTAATCACTTCTGGCAATTTTGAGGTACAAAGCTGATACATATGTACTAGGATCTTGGGTTTATTTGGGGTCTGATATTGCAAAGAGATCTATATATTGTTAATGGTTTCTGATGTTATGTATTGAAAAATAGAGAGAACTCTCTAGCATGTTTAAGGTATATTATTTATAATATTATTATAATAAAGTTTTCATCATAAATCTTTAATGAAGTCATAAGCAAGTGTCTTCATATCTGACAATAGAAAATAGGCACAATTATTATGAAACTTTTTTTTTAAGATGTTACAAATTTACTGAGATAATTATTTGATGAGTTGATATTTCTATCATCTACAGGTCGATGATTTGAAGGATAAACTAGAGAGAAAGGAAGAGGAACTTAGACGATGTCAGGATGAATTGCACACCTTGTCTGTCCAAAAACAAAAGGTAGGTCTCCTGATGTTGTGTGCTGCTGTGCTATGTTAATTTGATTTGCAGTGATTTGATCTGAAAGTTTTCTAATTTGTGAGAGAATGTCTTTTGCATTAATATTGTTTCTGAAATATATTTCAATTAGGGATGGCAATTTGTAATCGGTTAACCGGTTACTCGGTCGGAACGATGGTAATCGGTTAGAAAATCTGTAATCGGTTAGTCGGAAAAAAAATACCCGGTAATATATGTGTAAATCTGAACACAATTTCATAAAAAAATCATTTAAAAAAGATACATCAAAAATATGTTAATTTTTTACCTATCTATTTAAGCTGATTCGGAGATAATTTAGGCTGTACAGATGGACACCACGGGGGTAATTAGTCAGTTTTTGAGATGTTAATTGTTTTGTAAACACCATGTCGTTACCCGTGTTTCTTTAATGATTTAAATTAAATGATCGTTGAGTACTGCAAACTGTTTATAATGTGTACCTTACCTCTTCTGTCCTTTGCCGTTACCTATCAAATTGTATTATTAAACAAACAATGTAAATTAAGCTATCATGGTTTTGATAATGGTGACAATGTAGAATGAATTTGCACGACATCTCTTCTGATATTTTTTAACGTATCTGATATACTTCAGGCATATCCTATGGGTTTCTTTCTCTCCTTTTTTTTGGCTTATTAAAATTAAGATAATGTATAATAAAATAATGTAAACATCTGATAAATTATAAACATGCCGGTAATATTTATTTACTATACGTAACATTTTTTTAATAGAGCTTACAATGAAGAAATATGTCGAGAATTTTTGATACGATTAACCTATTAATCGGTCGGAACGTCTTGCGGTTAACCGATTGGCAATTCTGTATTCGATTGCCATCCCTAATTTCAATTGATTTTTTTTTGGAAGGGGGGGGGGGTCTGGGCTTTCAAACAAAGAAGAAGATATTAAGTGTTTGATAGGCAGAGTAATCTACATGTAATTAAGTGTACATTTAGAGTTATTGCATGACTGTGTAATGTATAGCATAACATGCAAGAAAAATCTGTATGCATGTCTAGTGTCTTCTTATCAAAAATAGACTTGATCGCCCAACTTTCGATGTAAATGATTTTAAGAACAATATTGCAGAAGGGGAGGAATAAAAGGGAGAAGATGCTATAAAATTATTATATTTAATCAACTATGCTGATAAAATCATTTGAGTTTAATCACCTCTTGTATTACCCCAAAAAATCAGTATGGTTGTACTTAGCGGGGAAAAGAGTGTATAAGAGGCCTCGAGTGGTACTGGTGGAATTGTTTTTACTGGAGATTAATAGTTATAACATGAAAAAAAGAATAGCTCTGAATAACAGTAATCCGCCTTAGACTGACCTTTGTTTAAAATCAACTTCACTGGGGTATAAAATGCAATTAAAATGTCTTTGTTGTCTTGCGAGTTTAACTTTTTCCTCAATAGAAAGAAAATATTGAAAAGCTGTGGATTACTCTATCATGGAGATCATGGGGGATTTTTGTCCTTCTTTTGCCTATTTTGTATTTTCATATATATTGATGAAAGGGCACCTCCTCTTTTGTGTGTTAATTTGTAAAAATAGACGAATGCTTTGATCTCTTGCATGTAGAAAAAATATTGAAAATTCATTATTGATACATTTAAGTACTGGTATATTCTCTGTGCAAGTGAATGAGAAAAATTAAATTTTTAAAAATGTTTTTTGAACAGGCTGTTGAACCCCTTTCCACTTAACAAAATGCAGTGATTTCATATTCAGCTGAAAAGTCCCATGCACATATTTTTTGTTGACATTTAATCTAATATGTATTTTTTCCACAATCCTGTGGTGGTGGGCGTGGGGGTGTCTGTGGGATTACAATAAATAACTTTCCTACTTCACAAACTGTTAATAATGCTTCATTGATTATTGGAATTTTTGGATACACAGATATCTGCCTCATATGAATTCACTTGAAATTTTTCATGAACTTCATGTGAAAAGAGCACAAAATAAAAATCATCAAAACTCTAAATTTCACATGAGCAAATGCATATGAGACAAATTTATCTGTATAAATTACCATAGAAGATTATGTAAGACACAATGAATGAGCATGACTAACTAGTTGTTTGATTGTGTTTGTTAATTGATGTATTTTTGACTTTTTTGTTTTTGTGTGTTTTGTTACTAATTAGGAGCTAGACAAACAGCATGAAGACCTTACGTTTTTAGAAGACAGTTTGTCCAGCATGAAACTACATCTAAAGGAACGAGAGCTGGAAGTAGAGGTAGCCATTTTTTTCCTCTATGTTTCGTAAGCTCTAAACATCTTGGGTACAAGTCTGATATGACATGTACTTGGGATTGACTATAAGAGCTAGAATTAATCATAGCATAAATATTGATGTATGATGGTTCTTTTTGCAATTGCAGGAGACATTGTAATCTCGGGCAAAACTAAGTTAGATATCATACAGAGTTCTACTGTATTATTAGCATGGTCACCATGGGAGCATGTTCTTGGAATAGAGAAATTCACAGTAATATTGATTGAAGATATTATAAGAATATGAAAAAATTAAATTGATTCAGATATTTGCAGCATAAGTTTTTCTTATGTGGAGTTTATCTTTATTTTACTATAGATGTTAAAATATTGTGTATTGAATTCTTTGAGACATTTGAGAGAGAAGTTATATGGAAAATAATTAATCCAAATTTGAGAACAGGTGATGTTTTAGGTGGCCAGTACTGAATTTTAAATTGTCTTTGGAATGATGGAATAATGTTTTATTTTTTGTTTGTTTATGACAGACAGTAGACTGTTCATTATACAGTGAATATATCATTTATGTTGATCTATGGTATTGCATCCACCTTTCAAAGGTCTGGAGTGCCATCTCTTCTTGGGAGGGATCTATCTGCAGTCATTTAACAGATGCACTATCTATCCAGCTCAAATAAATGGATTTTAACAAACTATTTGATGTTAATCAAATGATACTTTAAAGGTTTGGGAAGATTTTAAATTCTGCAGAAATTCTACAGAGTTAATTGTCCAGTTTGTATGATTTTTACACGCCCCTGTGGCACGCGTCAGATATACGCATGATAGGGTATAGGATGTTCAATGTGAAGTGTACGGGCAGTTGAACGTTAAATAAAAGAAGCTCTTAGGTTTTTTCAGCAAATGATAATAGACTTGTAGGGTCACAATAGGATGCTTTTGAAGACATGCGATATAGTCTTCAATAGATATCAGATTTAATTGATGTGTATTGCTCAGTTGGAAGTAATACTTGGTAAACACCTAAGCGACAAGACATCATTTGGTCTCTTTAAGTATGCCTTTGAATCTGAGCTTGATGAGGAAGGGGGATTAATTTTGACTTGCAGGCTTATTTTCTGTGATTTATTGTTGAATTTGCATTAACTTGTTTGAACCTTGGGGCAATATGCTGAAAGACACACCGCCAATACAGCATCAAACATGACGAAAATATGAACAAAGTAGTGCATAAATTTTCTCAGTGGGATAAAATTCTTTAAATTAATTAACCACTGGATTTTAAATGTTAAGGTTTGGCTGAATTGAGGTGATTTTATTTTTTTTCATGCTTTTTGTTCAAGTTATTTTTTACATGAACTTCAAAAGTTCGTTTGCAGAAAAACTAAAACTGGAAATTTCTTAAAAGTGCAAAGAAATGATGAATGTTAGATTTGAAGCCTTTGATAAAATACTTGGTAGAAGTAGACATCAACAATTTTTGGTATTTGAGGGGGGATTTGATGGTAAATCTCTTAAGTACCCATAAGAAATTGAATATATTTGAAAATTTTGATGCAGTACCAGGGACTAGTAAGACATAAAATTTTTTATAGCAAATAAATTTGGGGTGACATTTATGTTGTATTAAAGTATTTCAAGCCTCTTAATCCAGCTAATTCTTTTTATGCTGTTTTATTATTATTTTTCCAAATTTATTAGTCTTGTAGGTTGTATTTTATTATCTTTTTCCCTTTTGGAAGGCAGCACTGCCTGATCCTCTTATTATCCTGTGTATTGACCTTTCAGGCAAATTAACTTTATTGACCCAAAAGGTGTAATTAAGTCGTCTTTATTGATATAAGGTGTTCATTCTTAAAATAAACTTTATTTTGTGAAAGAGCTCTCTAGGGCCGGAGGGGAATTCATTGACAAGGTCTTTTTGATCCAGGGTTAGGCTAAACTGCCGTCTGCAGATACTTCTTGGGAAAATGCCCTTTTAAATAAACTATCCAAAGGGCTATGTGTATTAGCTAGTGTCAAATTGTTAAAAACAGATTGACTTAATCTTTGTCAGTGTAATTGTTATTTAAAGTTGGATTTTTATCCAGGCTGTCCTTTTTTGTGTCTTATTTTATTTATTGTTATTTAATCTTGGGGACCATTTTTTAGGGTGGAAGAAATATAAGTTCCTGTTGGCAATTATTTGATTCTTTGAGATAATGGCTAGACGAAAATGTAAAAACTGCAATAAATAGCAAAACAAGCATGCAAGTTCATTGTCAAGGGCTTTTAGCTTCTAAAGTCTGATTTTAGAATTTGTGTAGTTCTGAGGATTGGAGAATTTTTTTTTTGACTGAACACCAGAGAGGATGACATTTTATATGATGTATTACCAGAATTAATTAACCATGGATTTTAAATGGGGGGACTTTTCATGGGAGTCCAGTGATGAAAGTTTGTGGGACTCTGGTATAGAACAAAAATGGACTAAAAACTCAGAAATTTCTGCTCCAGTGCAAAGTAAGCCTGTAGGAGAAGGTTGTCATAGAAGTAGCAAACATTCAGAACCAAGATGGGCTTCAGAGTTGTTAGAAGAAGATTCAGGCATTGAAGAAAAATTTCCAGCAAATTTGAGTGAACTTGAGGAAAAATTTCCAGGAGGTTTTAGTGAACCAAAATGGACTATGGATCTCATTGGGATTTTGGACACAAATCTAGTCCAGATAACTGACTTATTTAGCGACTCTAATTTAGAGGAAATATGGACTAAGGAGTTGATTGAAGAGAGACTGGCTTTAGAAAATCTGACCATTGATTGTGCTGATTTTTCTTCGCAGAATCTGCTGAAAACTCTGGGTAAGAAGGAGGGAGAATTGGAGGGATTCAAAGAGCTATTGAACAAGGCAGAGACAGCACTACGGCAGAGTGAAGATGCTGTGCAGGTAGGAAATTAGGATTAAGGGAAAATACTGTATACAGGGAAATTTTCTCCTTCATTCATTTGCACTTATCTTCACCCTTATCGCAAATGGGCAAATTTTAAATGGGGTGCATTCAAGTAAGCATTAACTCTTCAACACAACTGTGTCTGGGCGAATTTAATTTAAAATTGGACAAAATTGTTTGCAAATGTAAAGGGGTGAAAATAACCCAGTATACAGTTACTGTCTTCTGAGGGAGGTAACGCAGTATGGTATCCTAAATTCGCTTGAATTTCATTCTTGTCTGCAATGGGATCTTTGAAAGAAAAAAGTCATAATTACAGAATTTCATTTTAGCAAGCTGAGGATTCCCTTTAAAACACTAAACCAGAAAATAAATGTTAGTTGTGATGATATGGCATAAGATCCCCTTGTTTTGTTGTGTGTGTTGTTAAGAAAAATAATGTGAATTTAATAAGTTATATGAATAATTGTTCCATTTGGCATATTTTAGGGCACAAGAAATTTTCTGTGTTTTCAATTGAAAATGACCAACAAATAATTTGAATTTTAATAAGTCACCAGACATATGGCATCTTTTTTGGGACACAAGAATTGTTTAGTTTGTGCATTTCTAATCGAAAATTAAATCTTACTTGGTAAATAAATTATTATAATTTTTAAAAGAAGATCTGAAAAAAGTTCTGTTAGGCATCTTAAATTTCTGTTGTGTTTTCAATCAAAAATTTAAATCTTATTTGGTAAACAAATAATCTGAATTTTAATAAGTTATTTGGGGAAAAAAAAATCCTTTTTGGCATCTTTTGTTTAGGGCACAAGAAATTTTCTATGAGTGTTTTCAATCAAAAATAAAATCTTAGTTGGTAAATAATTTGAAGTTTATTTTGGCTTATTTGGATATTTAAAGCAAATAGAATTACGTAGACCCTGAGTCTACTTTATTTCTATGACATTCGCCAGTTATGGCTTTTAGGTTTGAAATAGGAGGGAATCACAGATTTGTATATAAAAATTTTAAGTTTGGTTTTATTCTACTCTGTTGATTAATTAACAGTGATACTATTTACAGTGTACTACATGACGTTTTGTCCCTTTAATAAAGCCAAAGTCAATATTTTCTTAACTCTGTTGTTTACTAACTCAACTACATAATTTCAAATAGTACTTTAGTGAAAATTAATGTTATTAATGTTTAATTTTTTAAATTATTCAGTCAACATTTTAAGGGCGCTTGCTACAAACAAGATGCATGAACTGGTATATATTTAGCTCACCTCAACGAAGTTATGGGAGCTTATGTCATACCCTCGGCTTGAGCATTCCAGGTTAAAGTTTTTGAAGCAGATTTCTTTTCAAGTTCTTCTATTGGCTTACACTGATCAGAGGTGTACATATGGACAATAATTTTAGTATGTTTCATTGTACAAGTAAGGTTATAGAAACTGCATTTTCAGCCAACAAATGACCAGGTTAATGATTTTGAAAGTCTTTGCCAAAACTTTTTTTTCAGCACATGCCCTTCTGGCAGGTACATCCACTGACAGGATAGGGCATTAATGGGTGATCAAGATTTTACATAGGAATATATAGGAAAAAATCTTTTAAAAAATCTCAAGAACAGCAAAGGCATGATTGATATGGATTGATGTGGAAGCATCCTTAAGTAGTGTAGATTCAAGTCTGTTCAAATCATGACCCCTGGGGGTAGGGTGGGGCCATAATAGGTTATTAAATTTTACAGAGGAATTCTATAGAAAAAAAAAATCTTTAAAAACCTTCATAAGAACAGCAAAGGAATGATTAGTCATATTTATATGGAAACATCCTCAGATTCAAATTTGTTCAAATATTGCACCCAGAGGGTAAGGTAGGGCCACAATAGTCATAAGAATATATAGGGGGGAAAATCTGCTGATAAAGAAAAGTATGTCCAAAGTGACTCAGATGAGCATTGTGGCCCATGGGCATCTTGTTAACTAGTACAATGGTTTTTTTTTTTGATATTTGATATAAACTAGACAATGCCATGGAATATTTATTTACTGGAAGTCATGCAGGGTTTTAGAAAAGCTTCATCACATAATGGATAAAAAATGTCTGACCATCTCAGCTTTATGAAGAGAGTGGAGGAAGATTCTAAAAAAAAAAAAGGCTTAAGATGAAGTTTGTTATAATCTGTTGTTTTCACCATGCAATGCATAGACTAGAAAAAATATTTTAAAAGAAGATATTTTTTCTTCCTGTCCAATAGAATCTGTAATGTTTTAGATATGTGATCTAACGGCATTCATGTATATTTGTAGGACCTCCAGTGTCAACTGAGGAAAGAGAAGGAAATTGCCTCAGAGGATTACAGATCTCAACATTTACAGGTGAGTAGGTGGGAGAACATGTAACATTTCAAGTGTGTGGTTAGGTGTTACATGTAACATTTAAAGGTGTGTGGCTGGAAGTTACATGTAACATTTAAAGGTGTGTAGGTGGGAGTCACATGTAACATTTACAGGTGTGTAGGTGGGAGTCACATGTAACATTTACAGGTGCGTAGGTCGGAGTTACATGTAACATTTACAAGTTTGTGGTTAGGAGTTACTTGTAACATTTAAAGGTGTGTGGCTGGGAGTTACATGTAACATTTACAGGTGTGTAGGTGGGAGTCATATGTAACATTTACAGGTGTGTAGGTTGGAGTAACATGTAACATTTACAAGTGTGTGGTTGGGAGTTACATGTATCATTTACAGGTGTGTGGCTGAGAGTTACATGTAACTTTTATAGGTGTGGAGATGGGAGTTACATGTTATATTTACAGATGTGTAGGTGGGAGTTACATGGAACATTTACAGGTGTGTAGGTGGGAGTTTCATGTAATATTAACAGGTGTGTGGTTGGGAGTTACATGTAACATTTAGAGATTCGTGGTTAGGAGTTCCGTGTAACATTTACAACTGTATGGTTGGGAATTACATGTAACATTTACAGGTGTGAATTGGTTGGTGGGAGTTGTATATAAAATTTGCAGGAGTGTGGTTGGGATTTGCATGTAACTTTTTCAGGTGTGGATGGGTGGGTGGAAGTTACATGTAACATTTACAGGCATATGAGTGGAAGTTGTATATAACTTTTAGAGGTGTGTGGGTAGGTTGGAGTCACATGTAACATTTACAGATGTGTGACTGGGTGTTAGTTACATGTTACATGAAAAGGGTGTGGGTGGGCAAGAGTTACATGTAACATTGATAGGTGTGTTTGTGGATGGGAGGCACACGTTACTTTACAGATGTGTTGGTGAGTGGAAGTTAAATTAATGGGTATGTGGAAGTTACGTGTAACAGAGTTGTGTGGGCAGGTGGGCGTGACATGTAGAGGTACATATTGTCTTGTAAATGATACTGAAATATGATTTGTTCTAATGTGGTAATAATAACATGTATATTGATTTTTGCTTTACAAAGAAATGTAACTATATATATTTTACTGAGGTCATAGAGTTTTCAGTCATCAGCATTTTTTCTTGTCAAATTCATCATAAAGGTTGATCTTTTGTTATACTGATATTAGAATGTTCAGTCACCTCATTGAACAATGTGTAATGATTATGTTTATAGTAAATCACCATGTGTTTGTTGATCTTAATACCTGTCCAGAGTTGTAAATAGTCTGAAAAACTATCAAATGTAATTCTACACTGTGCATTAGACTGATATACTGGTTTCCATAATTATACATGTACATATTTCTCTCCGATTTTGTGTGGGTGAGCATATAATCTTTCACAACTGAAATTTTGTGTAAAGATTACAGCCATCTTTAGTCATGTATATTTATTTGGGTGAATAAGTGATTGTCTGAAAATGCTATTCTTAACAAACAGAATCATATGTTTATTATCACCCTCTTAGTTCAAGATAGATGACTTGGAGGCCCAGCTTCATACCAAGGATAAGATTATACAACAGCTATCAGACAATCTGAAGGATAAAGAGAGACAGATGCAGCAGTGTATGGAGATCTTCAGACCCACCCCACAGGTAAGGAGCGGATCCAAGATCTTTATATAATTATATGTTGTATGAAATGAATCTCTAACCACAGGTTAGGAGGTGGATCAAAGGTCTTATTTTAATGTATTACTTGAAATTCACGTTAGGAGGTGTATCCAAAAAAAAATTTTCAGGATGAATGTCGCAATAATGACTTCCATTATTTAACTGTATTCATTCATTGTAAAGAGTATTGATTTAAATGTTTGAGGATTTTTTTTTTTTTTTGCAAACTGTAGAATCTATTATAAAATAAACATTGATTTTTTATTAAGGATACATCACCGATGATGATGTCTATTTTTATTCTGCATTAGTAATTTAGATACATATATGTTCTGATTTAAGGAGGACAGCTCCATTAAGGACAAATGGATCAGAGAGTTACAGAACAGACTTCAAGAGAAGGAAAAGGCTGTCGAGGTAATATCTGTATTGTGTTTTACAATGCATTCTCTATAGTCTGTCCCACAGTACCATCATCATCACTTTTTGCGTAATATTTCTAACAAAATGCATAAATATCTTGTGTCAATGAACTAGGTTCTCGGAACGAAGTCTTTTTTTTTTCTCTTTTAACCAAACACTCTGATTTGTAATGATCTCTCCAGTTCGAACTAGTGTTGATATTGCAGCAGATTTAGAGTCTGTGGGAATTAAACATTAAATATAGCCACCACTTTGAAAAGGGATCTATCATTATTCATAATTTTGCATATCTTGTCATCAGTAACATTAAGAAGTAGCACATGTTTGGAAACAAAATTAGGGTCACACTCAGATGATCTTTTAAAATAATGAACTACTTCCTCACATGCTTGAGTACAGAAGGCTGAAATTAGCATTGTAAATTTTTGGACTGAGAAATCTTCTCATGCTGGTTAGTTTCATGATGTATGTATCCAGTCTGACTAAAAATGATAAAACTTCAATGTGTTAAAAATATTTTCTCTCATGTGAAAATTCATTTACTATAGTAAAAAAATGAGTTGGAAGCACTTGGATGGGACAGACTATAAAACTAAATTGATATGTCTTATTGAAAAGAAAAGAAAATATGTTATTGTGAAAAAATTTTTTTCAATGTCAGGAAGCTTTGAATGAGAGAATGAAACTAGCGGATGACAAGGATGCAGAAATCCGACAACTGAGAAGAGAGGTCCGTGACAAAGAACATGAGATGGAGCGAGCCAATCAGATGTTGCTTACAGCAGAACAGACCATTGAGGTAACAGCAGTAAGGGGAAGGGGGGAGGGGGTGAAACTAAGTTAACACCTGATATATTGCTTAATTTTTAAAATTGGCAAAATAAAAATTCTAGCCTTTTTTGTATTTCTTGATTTCTTTGGAGAAAATAAAAGTATTTGATACTTTGATAAGATACTTTTACTTTTAAATATCTTAGTTTCTGAGTCTTGTATGATGAATGAAAATTTTGGTTGAATATTATTTAAAAGAAAGAATATGAAGATTGCAAATCTTTTTTTTGTAAGAAACCTGTATTATGCAGAGAATAAACTGCACAATATATTTGGGTTACTAAATTGAAGGAAACGGTAAAAATTGAAATGATGTATTTTTCAGTGTCTTGAGAAAGAGGGAGATGAGAAGGATAAAACTCTGAAACAGCTGACAAACTCGTTGAAGGTCTCCCAGAAATCTCTTCAGGTAAAAATGATATCATTTCTGTCAACCTCAACAAAATGTATTTTATTATTATTATAAAAGAAATTTTTTTTTTTTTAAAATTATGTGTATTTCATCTGAATTTCTGGAAATTTCACACACAAATTAGTTTGAGTGCACAAGAGATGTTTTTTTTTTTGTAGGATGCTTTGGAAGAACACAAACAAGAGCTTAAGGAGAAAGAAAATGAGATAGAAAGATTGAAGAAAGGAATGAAAATTTCAGAAGGAGAACTACAGGTATGCTTGTATTGAGGGTGATCTAAAATTTTGTTTTTTTGTTCAAGGAAATGAGCAGAAAGGCGTATTACTTGATGAATTTCTGAATTTTCTGTCAAATACTTCAGGGAGCAGAAAATGCAGACACAATGAACAGTTTGTTGAGGAAATTACGTGACAAGGATGAGGCTCTACTGAAACAAGCAGAGAAACACGACACTGAAATGAACAAGCTAGACAAGGAAATTCACAATCTCAAAACTGAGCTGGCTCAAGTCCAGAGGGAGCTACAGGTACTCTGTCAGGAGGAGATAACTCTGATATAGCCAGAGAGAGTTAGCAAAGAGAAATAACTCTGTCTAACCTCCACTGAAAGTATCAGTAGGGATCACTGAGACACTGAAGTTTAAAAAAAAATCCAATTTAAATTTAATATCTTTTAAACATCAATATGTAAGACTTGATATCACTTACTTGTATCTTACAGTCAGTGGAAAATAGATGTGGCTGGTCTGAAAAACGGAGTCAAGACACTCTGGATGATTTGAGAGAGACACTTAAGGAGAAAGATAAAGTTATTGAGGTGACTATGAATTCAGTAGTTAAGCTGTACTTAACTAAATAGACTTTGAAATTGCAGTAAATACAGGATTTCTATAAAAAAAAAAAATTCTAAATTTGTCGTCATTTTTGATAATTTAAAATCTTTACAAATTTAATGCTCTAAAGAAAGTTTTTTCTTTAATCAATTTTAATGCACTTATTTGTTTTTCTTCTTTTAGGCCTTAGTTGCAAGTGGAAAAGAGAAGGAGAGATTGATTGTAGAACTACGAGGTTTGCACTCCAACGCAGACACCATCAGTCTCCAATTCCAAATAGAAAAACTGAAAAATGAACTGCAGGACAAAAATGGTACAGTCAAACACGCTTATAGCGAATTGCCAGGGATGAACGATTTGATTTGTTATTAACATAATTTATGGTATCCATAAAGTTCATAGTATCTTTTAAAACTACAGGGAATGAAAATCACTTCGCTATAAGCATGAATTCATTATAAGATGAAGTTCATTATGACAATGTTTTTCTATATTAGTCATTTCATTCTCTGTTATAGCTCATGTTTTGAGGTCCCGTTAGAGTTAATGTTCTGTAATTAAACAAGGCCATATTAATCATCAATCGATTTAATTTTAGAAAAATGAAAATTTCAGATTTACTTGATTCATGGACGTTTGATGAAAATGAACAAGTTATCAGTCGAAGGATAGAAAATTTACAATCGGAACTTGAAGCTGCAAAAGATGATCTTCAACAGGCTCTAAAGAGAGAAGACATCCTAACAAAGGAATTGGTAGGCTGTCAAAAACAAAATCTGTGTGCTGGCATTCATAGCTTCAACAAAAAAAATTAAATGATTTTCCAAACACTGCCTCATTTAAATGTACAATGTACCTATATAAGACATTATAAGGTTATTTGTAAGGGTCAGTAAATGTGTTCATTATTTTGGTCAGAAAGGGAAAAGTTCAGGTATTTTAATTTTTTAGGGTACATGTCAATATGGGTCAAGTGTCATTAAATTAAGGCAGATTAACTTTCTTGTATCAGATTGGTTTATTTTTAGTCATAAGAGAAGTACATATGTACTTAGTCTTATTCTACAAGTATATGAATTTCATACAAATATGAATTTCTGTTTCATTTAAATGCTCCTGAGCTCAAGGTTATACAAGTATAAATACTTTGAGGGTGCAGTAAAACTTGGTTGTAGCGAAGTCCTGGGGACCTGCAAATTTACTTTGCTATATCCGTAATTCGTTATATACCTATAACAACTTCGTTAAATTATTTATAGAAATTCCCAATATAGACTTTTCTTCTGACTGTCAAATGTATTTTCGGATGTATTTTAAAAATACTATAGTTTGGTGTCCAAAAGTTTTTGGATGAATTTAAATTCAAATATAATACTTACAAAAAATACCAGATCAATATTTTAAAGTTGAGATCTTTTGAAATTCGTTATAAAAGATGTAAATTTCATAAAGTTTAACCAGTTGGGGACACATAATCATTTCATTATATCTGTAAATTTGCTATATCCAAGTTCTTTATATCCGTAAAATTTTACAAAGAATTTTTCAGAATTTTGCTGAGGATTCCAAAAAACTTCATTGTTATATATCCATAAATTCGTTTTATACATGTTTGTACTAATTAAAGGAGTTTTACTGTATAGTGTTTTTTTTTTCATGTTTAGATATGATTTAATCCCTTTTAATTGAGTTTGTAATGTGACAAAAAAATCTTTTAATGATATCATTCATCTTGGTAACTGTCAACTTAAAGCAGTGTATACAAACATCAAGACAAGACACTCATTCATTAATCAGCAGCAAGCATATAAAAAGTGTCTAAATACAGTCTTTAAATATATCACTTTATATGTTGGCTCAATGAAGAACTCATTTACTCATTCATTCATGCAAGCTTCTTTAAGAAAAAAGGTATGTACGGTTAAACACAAGTTGTGAAAACCTTTCACTCTTCTCTGGATCCTATCATTTATACTGCATAACTACAATATAATTACAAAGCATTCTGTTTAGGAAAATGCATGGAATTGGTAAATGTGTCTCATTTACAGTTCTCCTTCTTTAGCTCATCTTGATGAAGTTGAGCTTATCTGTACTTCCTGTCAGAGATAAATGTTTTTGGAATAGGTCTATTGAAAGCCTAGATTACACCAACTTTGCATAGATGATGCATCTAGGGCTGTTTACTAGCAGTCTTGCTTTATATACTGTATCTGAATTATATTTTTATGGATGAGTGGCCAGATGTAGGTTTTAGAGCTTGTCCATTTCAAATCTCACTTGGACCTGGTGCACCTGAGGGTGCTGGCTACCTATCATAGCTCAGTGTGGTGTATGATGGATTTTATATGGATGAGTTGCCATGTTTGAGTTTTGGTACAGCTCCATTCTTATGTAATTAACTTCCCTATCTGGGTCAAATTTGAAGGGATGCAATACTATTGCAGTCTTCCTTCAGTTACAGTATTTTCCAGATGTTTGACTAAAAAACTGTGTAATGATGTGTGTTATTATTGTACGTGTATCTTATTTAACATTCAGTTGATTTGAGACTTTGCCTCACTTACAATTGAAATTCATTGAGAAGAGCATTGTAATATGATTATCTGTGTGTTTAAACAGAATGATCTCAGACAGAAGGAAGTTTCATCCCAAAACAGAGCGGGAGAAAATCACAAAGTTGAAATAGAGGTACGAAACGTCTGTGAACATCACTCAAGTCCAGGGAAATCCGAGAAAGTGTCAACAGGAGAAGGTCAAAAGGTCAGACATTTTAAGTAGGAAAAATGAAACAATGATTAAAAAAATGTATTTTCTTATATTTGGTTGTGAAATTCACATTGTATAACGCATTATTTAGAATGAAATGAACATATCAATACTGTTTCTCAAGACTTTGGCATCTGTTACATCATGGGGTTCAAAAGTCCTCACACAACACAGAACATGATAATAATGCAGTTGCCTTGAATCATTGCAGTTGAAAGAAACTCTGGAAAAACAGCTGTCAGAGCTAGAAAAACTTGGTGATACAATAAAGAGAGAAAGGCAGATTATCCTAAACTTGAATGAAAATGAACCAAAGCTCAGTGGGTAAGGATTTTTTTTCTGGTTTTAGAGACTCATGTTCTGTGAACCTATATGTCTCTTATGATTCCAGGTACATGTAAAAGTTTTAAAATCTTATGCAACACATCAGGGTTTGAATTAATAAATAGTGGGCAAGACTAAGACAACAATGAGTGGGTTCTTTTACTGAAGTAGGATAATCTTGAGGTCATATAATGTATTGCCATATTCATCACGTTTTGTTAAATACTATTGTTCAAATTAATTTGACCTAAATTTTTTGGCAGAGGGTTTTGATTTTTCTACGCTGACATTGAAAATGTGCAGTTTTAACACACACATGGTTTTACAGAAATCTTAATCTTCACAGGGCTAAAACAACTATCACCTTTTTATTGTTTAATTGCAATTAAATCTTATTACAGTCTAAGTCATGCATTCACTATATTAATCTGAAGAGTAAACCAGTTCCTGTTACCCCCTTACCAGAAAACAGCACGTGCACACCTCTATATACAGTAAAACCTATCTAACAATTTAGCAAATCTGTTAATAACAGATTTCTGCATATTCCCTGGAGGGCTTTTACCACTACAATATCCAAACCACAATTTGATGTAGCAAGTTTCAGATGTAACTTATTTTGGCAGTGCATACAAGTAAGTCTTTTTTTTTTTGTTTTGAACGAGAAAGGGGGCATTTTTCTGTTTGTTTTGTACTTGTGAAGCCACAGTGCATGGTACAACTTTCATAATTTGCTACTGTAATATTTAAAAACCAATAAGCCAGATAAAAGTATGTTTTAACATTGAGTAAATTTTCATTGTCTACTTAATACCATTTATGGTACAAAGACGACATAACAAAATACTTTCGATCAAAACTAGGGAATAATTGATAGTTCAACACGAACTTATTCAAATACATGTGTCGACAACATGTGTTGACCCATGAAAACTGTAGCTCTTAAATCCTACATGTACAATTCATTTATAGCCATTTTCTTATTAAAAATGATGTGATTTAGCTGTATATTAATACAATATAACAATACTGACTGATATTCAGATGGCTATTACTCTACCAATGCAAAGTTTTCATTTCATTTATAGGTTTTATTATATAAAGAATTTTTAATGTAAATAAGAAATTAATAGCAAAACATGTACATCTCCATTGCAAAATATTGAACTTTTTGAGTAAGTTTCACTAAGACATCTGTGGAATATAAGGTCAAGACTATTGATATGGCCATTATTATTTGAATAGTGCTGATTGTAAATATGGTATTGTTAAACCCTAATAGAATATTTCACCATTTCTTTCTATTTCTTCATGCTGTTTAACTTTTTCTGGTTTATTTCTAATGCACTTTTCATATTTTGTAGTAAACTTTGGATTTGTGCATTTATTCACGCCATTTTCCTTTACTTTCACTTCAATGTGGAATAAGATAATGCGTTCATAAAAAATTTAACTTGAAAAACAGCTTTGTTTATTTAAGAAATTTTTAAACATCTATCGGGCTATAAATACGGGTTGGTACGAGATCAAATTTACCATAAAGCCCTTTGGGTACGAGATCAAATTTACCATAAAGCCCTTTGGGCTTTATGGTAAATTTGATCTCGTACCAACCCGTATTTATAGCCCGGTAGATGTTTTAAAATGATACCTTATTACTTATATTTACATTTGTGACTTATTCATATTTTATATTTGCCTGATTATAATCTTTTAACGCGTGAAACGTTTCATTTTTCCAAACCCAACGGCACGTGTTTTATCCACTGATTACGCGTCGACCCTTTATGATGTCATTGAGAAATTACGTCGAACGTTTATGACGCGAGGAACCCGTGTTTATACGGATATAGATACGCGTTGTTTTTAATAGTGTTATATAAAAGAAAACATTTGAAAATGTAAATATTACTTAATAGATAACAAAAAAAACATTGTTTTTATTATACCCCATTACAAATGAAGTTTATTAGACCCCCAGCAAACGAAGTTTGGGGGGGGTATATTGGAATCACCATGTCCATCTGTATTTCTGTCTGTCTGTAACACATTTGCGGGTGATATTTCGAGAACCCTTAAAGGTTTTGCAATGAAATTTAACATCACAACTCCCTATCATCTAAAGAAGACCCTTACTGATTTTGAGGTCCAAAGGTCAAGGTCATAAATTCATACATTCTGTCTGTTTGTAATACTTTCATGGATGGTTCCACCCCAGTCAAAAATTCCAACCCAGAAATTTCTTGACAAGCAAAAAAAATATATATTAATAATAATTATAATAATAATAATTATAAAAGAAATAAAAATTAAAACCTGAACTCCTTTCCCAAATGTATCCAACCCAGCAAATTTCATATCACCACTATCATTATATATACACAATGTACATTAATAATGTAATATATATTGACAATATACAGATTACAAAATAGAAGTCACCGTCCATGTGTTAGACATTCTGTGGTAGAAAATGCAAGGTTTTAATTGTTTAGCTTGTTTAGAATCTAGATATCATCTTTTTTGACAAGTACTTACATTTAAATGCCTAGGTAAATTTATACAACTGAAATATTTCCAATATAGCCTTTAAAAAACAGGCATGGGCATTTGGCTTGGATAATCCCCCATTTCTTTGTTTGAATGATGATTACACAAGTACAAAAAATTGCCTTAATCTGTATGCATTTACTTGTATCACGTGCAAGAAATATTGTGACTTTGTAAAATTGCTCAGCTGCCAAAATAACAATATTTTAAAATCCATTACAAGAGTTTCTTTCCACGACAGGGCATTGGCATCTTTCTAGAACAGATGTGCATTGTATAGCAGGAAGACGTCTAGGTACCCCTTTAATCTGTTATTCTAGTCTCAAGATATTCATGTTCTTTTTACAAGAAGCATAAACTTTGCAAAACTGTAAAGTTGTAAACAAAACTGCTAGGAGGGACAAAACTGCAATTAAATTAGAACCATGGAGAGATAGTACACATGTCAGTATTATTATTTTTTTAATTAGAAAATTTATTCCTGTAAAAAATCACAAAATTTTTATAGGGGGTTTAATATTCGTTGTTTTTCAGTGTTATGAAGAGACCCACGAATTCATGTCCTCCATGAAAATGTGAAAATTTTACTGTGTCCTTTTTGTCTACCATCGCTTCTTCAACCAGAAAATCAAATCTATGTGAATCAATATTTTTTCCTCAAACCACAAAAATTTGACCCCACATAATTAAGTGATTTTTCAGTAAATTACTTTTTACAATAATAAATAAAGTCGCCTATTTCAGTAGTTATTCAAACTAAGTGTCCTTTATAAAAGTGAATGGGGTTATACAACTACAAGTGCATAAAGTTTTATAGCACAGAATTAATCTTTTTAAACAAACAAAGTTTTAAAAGTACTTATAATCTTATTAGGAATAAACTTTTACTGCCACGTTAATATCTTCTTAATTTTCCCCCAAGCAACTAAGATCCATCTCTCTTTTAGAATGTGTTGAATTAGACCTTAAGGCTATTTAACATACCTAAATTCCAAAGATATTGGTAAAATGAATAAGCTAGATTCACTGTATGTTTAAGATGCCTATGTTTATAGACCATTTTAATAAATTTCCATCATTTTTCAAATATTTTTTTTAAAAAAAATAGGGACTTCATTGCATGTAATATAGCCTATTTTGTATACATAGCAATGAAGAGTGGAAAATGCCCTCGTGTGTGGATAAGTTGAAGTTCTCATGAAATATTTACTTTACAAGTAAAATTCAGACTTGCCCCCAGCAATTTCTATGTTCAGTAGAATATGACTAATTGACATGTACAGTCCCTGAAACGTTCTACTTTCCCATTTTTCCGTTCGTTCACCGTTTGTTCAGCGTGCGTTCACCGTTCGTTCACTGTGCGTTCACCGTTCGCTCTCCGTTCACAGTTTTGCGTTCTGCGTTCACCGTGCGTTCGTGTTCACCGTTCACAAAGCGTTCACCATTCGCTCTCCGTTCATTCACTTTGCGTTCACCTTGTGTTCAGTGTTCACTTATCGTTCAGTCTTCACTGTCATTCGGAACTCCGAAGTGAAAGGACTTATCTTTTTGTAAGTAAGGATTTACGGGACTTGAAATTTAATAATTAACATATCGTGTTTAAAGGATCATTATTTTATGGGAATAAATTATCTACAACATGTTTTATTATTATTCTAACTTAGCTGTTAGGTTATTAATTGAATTACTTTGGAAAATAAATGTTGTTATAAGTATGTACCTATGTAGAACGATGCTGAAAAATTAAATTTAAATACGGGCAATATACAAGTACTTCAAGCACTGCAACATTTTGTTGTTATGTTAAAGACGACAAGTCGTTAATGGAGAGATAATAATCCATGTCAATTAATTTACTAACTGCATCAAAATTACGAAAGTATTTATTACTAACACATTTTTTTTTCAATTATTATAGAAATACATTATTAGAACTAGTTCTGAGAATTATAAATAGTACTGCGGATATCCAGTTAATTAAATATCTTTGGAACGAATTAAATTGATAGTATGGTTAAAAAATATTTAAATGTAATATGATACAATTCATATATAAATTCTATTGTTAGAGAGAAAAAATTCCTTTCTTCACAATAACTTTATGTGTTTGCCATTCAATATGATTAAGACACCCCCCCCCCCTTTTTTTCCACGTAGATCGGTTACTTAGTCAGTATTTCCAGAATATTTTAAATTAATATTTACAAAGGAGTTAACACGTTTTGTAGCACAAAAATTTCAGTCTCAAAACAAACATGCATCTAAAAATGTCATTAAACAATAGTAGTTCAAAATATACAAGCGCCGACGGTGGTATTTTAAATTGGCCAGGGAGTATGTTTCAAATTCATTCGAAGTGTTTATGCCCAATTTATTTTATTTATTTATTTATTGGAAAAATTGGAATCAGATCTAGAAATGATAAAACATGTTAAAACTTCTTGGAAATACTACAGTGTAGCACTTCGCCTTTGGTGTGACGAGACTTTCACACCTGCACAGTGTCGAATGATTTTGATTGACAGGACAAGCACGTGGACTTCGTGTGAACTTGAAGCAGGAAAATAAAAACCGATTATGACTGTCAAACAAAGTGAATTTGTTGATAAATAAAAAAGGTTACTTTCACTGCCTGATATATTTAGATAAAAATTAAGATTTTTTGTTTATACAGGTACATATGTACATGTACATGCATTTGTGGAAAGGGGGGCTAAAACGGAATCTCTCTCTCTCTCTCTATCTCTCTCTCTCTCTCATTTGTCCGTTTAATCAAAACTATGACACGTATTACTTAAATACCAAGTTCTGAAATTTTAATCTATAACAAATAATATGAATGCTTCTTTGTATCACCTTGTCCGAGTATAATCACGGGGAATTGTCTACAGATACATGTAGAAGTCTGCTGAATAAATCATCATAAAAAAAAAAAAAGAATAAACATATTTATTTTACAACTAGAATAATTTTATCTTACAGCGTTCGGTAACAACGACAATGTTTTACAGCAATAAAAATCGTGTGATTAAACAGCTGAATTTAAACATCATACATATGTGCAGAAAATATTGTAAGAAACTTAATTAATAGTTTTACTAAAGGCGCATGTTTCATCTTTCTTAGGACAATTTTTGAATGTTTATTTATTTATTTATTTTCCGCCTGACATTAGAATACAATAGAATAGATAAAATGCATGGAAAAGATCAGAGGCATTCCGAATAAATCGTTCATCTTGCGTTCACCGTTGGTTCACCGTTTACTTTGCGCTCGCGTTCACGCTCCGTTCGCGTTCTGCGTTCGCTCACCGTTCAGCGTTCACCTACTGTTCACCAAGTTGCGTTCAGCGTTCACACATCGTTCACTCACCGTTCGCTCACCGTTCGCTCTGCGTTCGTTCACCGTTCGCTCACCGTTCAAGTGGGAAAGTAGAACGTTTCAGGGACTGTAACAAAAAAATTTGTTAATCACTTGTGCGTATATGATTTTTGTGCAACATTGAGGAAAAATTGTGTCTGTTACATGGGGTTGCAATCTCATCATGTTTGATATATAAAGGTTTGGATTTTTAGTAACAATTCTAATTGATCAGTGGTCCGTTATCTTAATTTTCAATGTATTTAGAAAGGGGAGAAAAAAATGCTGTCTTGAATTCTAATTTTGTAAATGAGAGATATATTTCATAATATTTGTGTTGTCTACCAAAAAGAGAACTTGAAAAAATCATTTTGTTTAAGACCAAAGCCTTGGTTACTCATTGTAAAGCTGAACTTGTATTAAAAAAAAAAAATAATTGTAACAAACACGTTATCGATAAATCCTGATTGGCCTCAATTTGGCCCAGTCAGTTCTACAATGGCTTTTGTTAAATCTAATTAAAGAAAATCCCATTAATCTCCTTAGCAGTTTGACCCTCTGTCTGCAAAAAAAAAAAAAACTGGAAATATGCTTCCTCACGTGATCAATTTTAAAACGGGTATGTCACGTAAATTTAAAATCAAAATGTTTCTTAAAATTTCAAGATATCTCTTTTGGCCTTGGAGAAAGTTGGAGGGAATAGCAAAGGTGAAAGTGCAGACTTACAGACATAATATTATTCAGTTTTGAAACTGATTCCCCCCCCCTCCCCCCCCCCCCCCCCCAAAAAAAAAAGAATTTAGTTCTAAAACTTGTTCAGTTTAGTAGAACAAGCGCTTGAATATGATCCTTTGCCCCCCCCCCCCCCCTTCAGTTCTTTTATTTGATCAAAAAGAAAATCATGTTCAGACTTAACCAACAGGCTTATTTTACATTACTTCACTTCATTATTATGGGCTTCAGTATTCCCTCACACTGACATTACCTTTCTTAAATAAATGTTGCAAAAATAATTACTTGTGCATATGAGATCAGATCAGTGTGACCGAGGATTAATGGTGTGCTATATAAATTTGGTTCCAGATGTTTTATGTTTAGTTTTAATCCTATCATTTGTATTATGATAGTTAAAGTAACCGAAGAGATTTTTTTCCAAAAGATCGGACATTAACAATGTATACTTACAATTTTTAAGTAGGTAATGTGCCTGGTCAGTTTTAATGTGTTGATTTTTTTCTGAAAGATGAAATTGTGTGTGTAATCTCAAGAAAAATAGTTCATCATAGTGTTGGACTAATATTATGGCAGTTAACAAGATTATCTTATTTTAGGTGATCAAGCTTTAAAATAATATCTAAGACAAACGTGGGCAGAGTAATTCTTTGGTCTGCTTAGAACATCCAATCAGCTCACAGCGCAGGGACTTAAAATTAACAAAAAATGCATTGTGCATTTATTAAAACTCCTCCCTTTAAGCTTTTCTCATTACAAAACAGTGGACTTTCATTTAAGAAGATATTATTTTTTTTTGAAAGAGGTTGAAATAAATGGTGCAAAAATTATAGTCATGATGCTGTAATCTTGCAGTGCAATCAGTGAGGATTTGGCCAAGGAACTGAAGACTGTGCGAGATTTGCGGAAGGACTTGGAGGAGATTTTGGACAAAAATAACAAAATGACTCTAAATTTGGAGCAGCAGTACATACTGTACAATAGAAGGTTTACTGACGGTAGGAAATTTGTACTTGTTTGATTTGCTATATTTTTTTTTTTTTTACAGCCTCATTATTAACTTTTTGATCTTTTAGCAGAAGATAAATTTTTGTTTTTACTGCTTAACCCATAATGAAATTACCTTTCTTTGTCAAATGAAAAAAGAGTATTAAATAAAATCTAGAGAATTTGTCTAAAGGATGTTTAAATTCAGAAGATGTGTTCATTACTTTTTTGAGAGAAAAAATTTTTTTACTTTCTTAAAACATGATACATTTAAATTTTAATCCATAGATTTTTCCTTCTTTCTTTTTTTCTTTTTTTTTTTTTAAATCAACACTTTTATGTAGAATTTCCATTTTTTGTGAGTTGGGCATTTTTAAAGGATGGAAGAGAAAAAAAAATTTCACCATTTTTTATAAAATTGAAACAGAGTTAACATGGACTCTGTTTGTATAATGATAGTTTTAAAGTTTTATCACTCAAATTCATGAGAGAGGATTTAGTGGTAAGAAAACAGATTGTTTGAAGTATTACAGATTAATGATAAATTGAGGGGATTTATTCCATCAATCCTGCTTTGTAGATATATGTACATGATAATAATTAGTTTGCCAATAGAGATAGAAGAGGTTTTTAAACATTTTTGACCCTTTAATCAGATCTAACTGGACATTTTAATATGGAGATCTGGTTTTTAAAAAGAGGAATTATCTAGTTAAGTATGGATAAATTTGAAATCAAGGAATTAAGGATTTTCATTCATCAATTCTAGAAACTAATCATCAAATACATGTGCACCAATATTCAGGTTTTGTCCAGAGATCCTGGATTTGCTAATATTGTGGATTCTTTATTTTTTTTTTTTTTGAATAGATTATACCACAGGAATTATGAGTGAGCTGAACTCAGATCTAGATTCACTAAAGAGGGAGCTGGAACAGAAAAAGGTGGAAAATAACACTCTGTTGGCCCAGCTCTATGACATCAAGTATAGCCATAAGGACCATGATGCTATGCATGAATCAGGGCAGACGTCACCTAGGAGTGAGACTCGATGGAGCATGACATCCAGCTCAAGTTCCTCTTCTTCACCGGAGTTTGATGTTCCTCTGAATCGGCAGACATTGTCAGACATGAGCGCCCCCATGTTGAGGAGGTACATCAGGCAGATCCAGAAACAGCTGGATATTTCTGCCCATGAGAAAGATGAACTGCAAGAAAGATTGAACCTCTCACAGAGAGTGAACGCTCGGGAAATTCCTGGGAAAAATGAGGATGATTTCAATAGCGTTCCTCATCTTAGAATGGAAGTTCAGAGTTTGAAAGGCAAATTGGCAGCGGTAGAAAGTGATCTGAAAGTATTACGGCAAAAGTTTGGATTAGACAAGGACATGCCATGCAAATATTCTGAACTCCCAAATGTACCTGATCTACAGAGAGAAAATGTCAAACTGAGAAATGATTACAGGAATGCTTTGGATAAAGTCTCTTCTTTGCAAGAACACATTGACAGTTCATTAAAATTGCACAAAGAACAGTTGGATAAATTCAGTCAAACAGTGGCTTGGAGTGGTATGATTCCACCCCTTGGGCCCAAATCAACAGATCTGAAGTGTCAAAGCAAAAAGGTTCCCAGTCAGATACCCAGGCTCCATAAACCTGGACACCCTGTCAATGGGGATCACTCTCATCTTCAGAAACCAGAAATCTTGAGAGAAATGTTGTCTGAGTCTAAAAATAGAATCAGTGACCTGGAGGCCAAGTTAGAGGCTACTGAGGGGACAGTAAGAATTCAGACACAAAAAATGAAGCATTACAAGTCCATTCTGGAAGAGCATGGCCTGATGGCCAAAAGCCCATGCATCAGCCGCTCTCATAGTGAGACTAATCTGGCTGCTGCCACAGCAACTACCTCCAAGATACCTGTCAGAAAAAGAGCCATGTCAATTGAGCATCTGAATGCTGTGGGAAAATCTGATTTAGAGGGACAGACAAGACATGTAAGTGATTTTTACCCATTTTAATATTCATTATTGCAAAAGTTTGTTAAAGCTCATCAGATATTTTTTGGAGTGTAGTGTAGAATGACTATATTGCAATGTTCAAATTCTTTTATAATTGGACTTTTCTCCCAGCAGGTCAGCGACAGTAGTGAGGGATCCCAGGAGAGCACACTGCTTCCCTCCCAGACATTATTAGACCTCCAGGAGAGAATGGCCTTCTTACAACAGAGCCTGCAGGAGACCAAGAACAACAACTCTGAACTGCAACAAAAACTCCAGGCCAAGCAACACTCTGATCAAACTATTGCAGAATTAAAATTCCAGCTTGGACAGAGCAGGGAAACAATTGTGGCCCTGGAAAAGCAGCTGAAGTCTTATCAAGGGTCTTCTATGCAAGAAGTGCTGGAATTGCAGAGAGATGAGATAGCTGTTTTAAGAAAAAGGTTGTGTGATTCCCAAAATTCTTGTGTTCAGTTAAATCGATGGTTGGGTGACTTGAATGTGTATTTGGATGGGCTGACGGAAGACGAGTATGGAAGTATCAAACAGAAAGTCCAACAGACCCAAAAGGTGGCTAAGTCACTCACACATCTTCTAGGTAAGGAAAAATTGCATTTTAGACTTGGATTAGCCTTTTTTGGAAATGTTCAGGGAAACAAGTACTGGTACATATTAAACAAGAGTAGACTGAAATTTGTACTAATTAAAAAATTCCAAGTTAACAAAATATGGACTCCTTATATGTATTATGCAGAGTTTCTTTTTGATAAATCAGCAATGAAATAATTACACATAATTATTTTAGATTCAGATAGTGATGACTCTGGGAATGAAGGAAGTAAACTTTTGAGAGGAAACTATTCACCAGTAAAATCTCCAAAGAGAGAAGCAAAAAGGTAAAAGAACGAATTCGTAAAAAGAATTTGCTTGAAACTGTTATAGAGAACCTTATATTTTTAATCTGACCTTCACGTTTTTTCAGACATGCTGAGGAGTTGGAGGTCAAGGAAACAGAAATAAAATCATTGAAGGAGGAATTGGAAGAAAAGAAAGCTTTCATTGGTCGATTGAACACCAATCTATTAATAGCCCAGAGGCAGTTATTGAACTGGCAAGACTGTGGAAAGGGATCATCCACTTCTGGTACAAGTGCTGCTGATGGAAATGTCTTCGAAAGCAATCGCCAGAGACCAAGGGACATCTTCCTTAGAGATAGTCTGTCCCCTGCTTCACAGACATCAAACAGACTGCCTGGAGATCATGAGAATTCGATAGAGAAAGTGAGGCATAGTAGTGAGAGGACTCAGAGTTCTAGGAGGTCCTCTGATGATATAGAGGTGCAGGACACCACAGTGACTTCTACTCATACACAGGGTTCTGTGCATTCTCACAAAGAACCTATCAGTGGTAAGGCTGATCGGATGGACTTTGGACCAAACGTTACCACTCCCTTAGGCCTGTATACGTTTAACTCTGATGAGCGTTTGTATGGTAATGCCAGATTTGCTGATAGAGACATGTTTGATCAGACTCTGCCTGTGAATGGACATAGTGAAATGTCTTTCATGGAAAATAGGGATTTCTTTGAAAATGTGAGTAAGTACAGTGAGTTAGATGACACTCGTGTGACTCAGCGATCAAGTTTCATGAACAGGAGTGTGACTGTTCAGAGTGAGAACCAGCAGTTGAAATCACGGTTAAATGTTATGGAGGACTTGAACAAGACCCTGAAGGATGAACTTCAGGCATATGAAAACTTGTGTTCATCTATTGGTATTCAGAGCTCACCAAGGAAGTCTCCACGGAAGTCATCAGAGGACGGGGATCTGTTGAGGGAGCATCTGTTGGAAATTCGAGCTCTGCGAATCAAGCTGGAGAAATCCCTGAAAGACAGTGAGAAACTGAGCCAGAAGCTACAGCAGGATATGGATGAGTCCCATGCCTCAAGTAAGAGACTTCAAATATAATACTGCTTTGATCTGAAAAGACATCATTAACAAGTTGATATTTTTAAAAAAAAATTTAATAGCGATTCTCTGTAACCACTTAAACTTCTTTGCCACGCATGGTCACCGATTTTGATGAAACTTTGCCCATTATTACAACTTGACACCAGAAACATATATCAAATAAAATTCCGTTGCTATGTGTCTTGGTTGCCATGGTAACAGCCAGAAAAGTTGAATAAATTGAGATTTTCAGCTACTTTGAATCTTTATTAAGCCTTAATAAAGAATAAGAATAACAAACAAACCATTCTCCCCAAAACCTGACACCTTGTTGCCACTTATGCTATAAAGAAACTATTTAGAATTTATCTCTAAGTAAGTGGTAACCATGGGTACATTTGGAATACATTTTAGATGCTGAAAAATGCTGAAAAACGCTCAATATTCACTAATGATAGGTGTTAAATGATCAAACTCAATCAACAACCTAAGAAAAAACAATAAAAATATTTGACCTTAAGTAATTAGGTGTTGGCAATATTATTCTAAAAATGACTTTCATGGTTGCCATGGTAACACAGTGTTACCATCCAAAATGTGTTGCTAAGATCGGTTTAATGCTACTATCTTCAGGAAAAACAATAAATTTCATGACTGGCACATATATATCCTTAGGACCTTGCAACACTGACAACATAAGAAAAATTGGGATTAATTGTTATTTTGCAGTGTAACCATGGAAACAATGTACCAGTTGTTTTAAGTGATATTTTTTGCTGCCCTAGGAATTTACTTACCTTTTATTCAAGAAACACATTGTTTGAATCACCTTGAATAGTACTTATCTGGTAAAACTAAAGTTGAATATCATATATTGATAACGTTTGTTGAAAAATACTACACTGTTGCTATGGTAACCAAAAAGGGAAAATGTTCGATTTTGTTAATTTTATATCAGTATTAAACCCTATGTGCCAGCTTTTTGCATCCAGTTAGAGATTGGGTGGCAGTCAAAATTGAAAGTCAGGTTAGTTGTTCATAATTACCAATCATAAAAGTTTTGGGAATCTACATACAAGGATACGTATCCAAGGAACTAGAATATTTTTCAGATTTTTATGCATATTTTTTCGGCTTATTTCCATAGCAACGCTCTATTTAAAGAATTGAATTTGCATTTTTTGAAATGTGAGAATTAGGGTCACATGAACATCTTTAAAAATTGATCATTAGTTATATAGAAATATGCTTTTTAAAAAGATAGGATTAGATTTAATCACTAAGAGAGTAAATCTAAAATCCCTCCTTGGTATTAAAACCATGGCAACCATTGCCAACCTATAAGAAATATCATATTTCTTCCATGGTATATGTTATAATGATCTTTTGTCTATTATTTGCTTATATTTCAACCTATATTTTTTTTTATTCTTAAGTGTATGATGTTATAAAATTAAATGAGCAAAATTATTACTTTTGAATACTTTGTTTCCATAGTAATGTATGTAATAGTTGATTTACCAAACATGTTTATCATGCATTTAAGACATCAGGCCTTCAACTTTCAGAAACAATCATTACCACTTGTTTGCTTTGCCGCAAACGTTAACTGTGGGACTCTGAACATGTTAAAAAATGCCATTTTTCAAACTTTAGGACATGTTGCCATGGTAACCATGTCACGTTGCAACCAATTTCTGCCTGATTTGAGTTTACAGTATCAAAGACTTTTATCATAGAGAGTTTGGAGAAATTCTGAGACTATGTGTGCCACAGCTTCTATATAAAAGTTCAAGTCGTTACAGAGAATGGCTCTTAAATGTTAACATGTTGCTGTACAAGAAAAAAAAAATATCATTACAGAATAAGCTTTGTATTTGTTGTCTTGAATGTTTATTGTATTGCATGTAACTGTGACAGACTTGTAGAGATCACTGTCCATTGTGAGTCAATCCATCTGTCTGGGAAGAGTCACACTTTACAAATAATTCCAACTGAAGGCAACATGTTTTTCCCAGACCACTCCATTAAGTTTGAAATTTTTGTAATACAGGTAATACTACCAATGTGTATATGTACAGCCAACATCAGGCCCATATCAATGAGTTACAAAGGGCCATCGACAAGCTGAAGACACAGTTAAGAGAGAAGGAAAACAGCATCACAGAGAAAATCACCATCATCAGAGAAAAAGAGAGGATCATCCACGAAACCAAAACCATCATCACCGAGAAAGAAAAGAGGATCGGCGAAGTCTTACAGGAGAAGGAAGAGCAGACGCGATCCAGTCAGCAGACGTTAGTGGTACAGCAGAGGCGGATAGAGAAACAGGACGAGACCATTCAGCAGCTGAGGGAGAAGCTGGATCTTCAGGTGGAAAGTCTTCATCAGCAGGAGTCCAAACTGAAGGAACAGTATGAGGTCATTCAAAAACAGGAGCTTCTGTTGGCAGAGGTTAGTCATTGTGTCAGGTTGACTTTTCTCTTTTGAAATAAGAAATAAATAAGAATCTATATTAAGAAACTCAGTTATTTAATAAGTTTTGTGCAGATTTTATCTAGAAATTCTTGTGAAAGTTTGTTTGCTCAACAGTTTATTTATGAGTGTTGGATACCAAACATTGAATTTTTGCATTTTATGACCTACACAGGTTAGAGGTAATTTAGCCTGCAAAGAGTCAACATTAGAAAAGCAGTATGAGCTTCTCCAACAGCAGGACCTGCAGATAGATAAACAGAAGGAATTGATAGACCAGAAGGACAAGAGTTACCGATCACTGGAGGAGGAGCTGGAGACTGTGACCAGCCAAATCCGACACTTACAGAGGACTGCTGAGGGGTCAGTGGACCAGGAGGAGTCGGGGACACAGACCCTGAAGGACAAAGTGGAGAAGCTGGAAAAGACGGTCAGCTCTCAGAACAAGAAGATGAAACAGCAGGAACAATGGCTGACCGAGAAAGATAAGACCAACTACAAACTACAGCAGATCAGGGACAGGCTGGACGAGAACCTTAAAAAGTCATCTAAAGAGATCAAAAGGTACAATGTCATCAACTAACTGCTTGAAGGTGAAATATTAATGGTACCTCTCTTTTACCAATTGAAAAAAAAAATGTCAAGTTTTTTTTAATAGCTTGGGGAAGCTTTTCTTTTTATTGCTGCTGCTCTTGAAATTTAAAGATTTTTCTTATCTTTTCCATGTAAAACTTGGAGCTTCTAATGTAGCTACACCCCTGCCCCTTCATTTTGTGCTAGTATTTCTGTCCATGGCATTCTGTTCAAAATGTTTACCAACTGCCATATTATATGACTGCTGCACTAAGATTAGAAAACCTCAATTCTAATACTTGTAGAATAATCTAATATGAATTTATTGCAGATTAAAAGAAGAGATGAGGACTTTGAGGGATCAAGTCCAGGAAAACAAAGATCTGAATAAAACTCTGAAGCTAGAATTAAGTGTCTATGAAAAATTGGAGAACACAGAGAATCAAGGTGGGGAAAGTAAACATCTGCTTTTAAAAGTAAATTGCTGATTATGATTTCCACTGTGTGGCTGTGCTACTTAGTTCAATATCAAAAAAAATTTCATTGAAGGAAGTCTGGTAAATTAATAAATTCTAGATAATATTTAAGATGGGTTGTGATTTCTTGGACATTTGTTTTACATCTTTTGATCAAATGTAGGCTGGAGCAATGGCAATGGCAAACAGGACAGCTTTGACATGAGGGAGTTCCTCACTGAACTCCGCCATCTTAGAACACAACTGGAGAGGTGTATAGAAACCAACAACGAACTGAGGAAGAAACTGGAAGAACATCTGTATGCCAAGAGTCAGCGACAGAGAATATCAAAGACAAACATTTACCATGTCAAAGACCCCAGTCCTGTTACATCTCAGGGTAAATAATGGACAACTCATCCTTAAAATGATAGTATTAATAGTTTGCTTTTCATTGAACAGTTTTTGAAAATAGTTTGAATTTCTTATATGTGCAGTAAGCTCTTCTCGTATGTGCTGTAAAGAGTTGATTGATAAAAAATGGAAAGAAGCTTGTCTATCAAGTTTGTTGCTTAAATTTTTTAGGTACTGATGCACCTGATGGACTGCCGAGTGTGGAGCAGAAGTCGGGTGGGTTCAGAAGTAACCATGAGTCTGTAGAAATTTTTAGAGGCACTGCTGATCAAGATTCCATGAAAAGTCTGTCTCAGGATTCATGTATCAGTGATTGTGCCTCAGGTATGGAAAGTGCTTTTAATGATAGTTAGGGATGGCAACGAATATTCGAACATTCGAATATTCATTCGATGAGTTGATATTCGAATATGAATTTAAGATTTGAATATTCAGTGTTTTTCAGATTTCATAAAAAGAAGTACTGTGATTAATAAATTTTGATTAGAACAGTGATGGAATTATCCCTGTTTAATTTACTAGCGATCAATTTCGATCAACTGATTTCTTTCACTACTTTCTTATCTTATAAATCTTCTAAATTACATGTATTTTGTTTTGAGTAAGGTGTTGTAAAAAATTGTACAATAGTGCTTTATGTATAATACAAAACGTGTACTTTCATAGCTTTTATTAGGTCACCTGAGTTTACTCAGGTGACCTATTGCTATCTGTTTTCGTCCGTCGGCGTGCGTTGTCCATCGTGCGTTAACATTTGAACATTTTCAGCTTCTTCTCTGGAACCACTGAACCAATTTCAACCAAATTTGGCACATAGCATCTATATGTGAAGGGGAGTAAAAATTGTGAAATTCATGACCCCTACCCCCCTGGGGCCTGAGAGGTGGGGCTAAAACCATCAGAATTAATGCAATCTTTAAAAATCTTCTTCTTTACTCCTGGGCATCAAGCAGGCAAACTGTTGGCATGAATGTAATAAGCATTGAGCCCTCTACCTAAATTGTGAAATTTATGGCCCCAGGGTCAGGGGTTCTGGTGCTAGGGTGGGGCTCTGTTGAATATGTAGTGAAAGGCATTATTCTTAAAAAATCTTCTCCTCTGCTCTTGGGTATTTAGAAAACAAACAATATGCATAGTTATGATGAGGAAAGGTGTCTCTTCTAAAATTGTGAATTTCATGGCCCCTGAGTCAGGGGTTATGGTGTTAGGGCAGGTATATAATGATTATATAGTGAAAATGCATTAATTATTCAAAAATCTTCTCTGCTCCTGGGTATTAAGCCGATGAACTAAGTACATAGTTATGATGAGAAAGAGTGCCTCTTCCAAAATTGTGAATTTCATGGCCCAGGGGTTCTGGTGTTAGGGTGGGGCTCTGTTGAATATAGTGATAATGCATTATTTCTTTAAAAAGCTTCATCTGTGCTCTTGGATATTATGAAAACAAAATAAATACATAGTTATGATGATGAAAGGTGCCTCTTCCAAAATTGTGAATTTCATGGCCCCAGGGTCAGGGGTTCTGGTGTTAGGGCAGCATTCTGTTGAATATACATGTATAGTGAAAATGCATTATTTCTTTTAAAAATCTTCTCTGATCCAGGGCAAACAAACTGAAGGCATAGTTATGATGAATAAGGGTGCCTATTCCTATGTTGTGAATTTCATGGCCCCCTGGTCAGGAGTTCTGGTTTTAGGGCGGGGCTCTAATGATTACATAGTAAAAATGCACTAATTCTTTGACAATCTTCTCCTTTTCTCCTGGGTAATAAGCCGATGAACTAAGAGTATAGTTATGATATGTAAGGGTGCATGTTCCAAAATTGTGAAATTCATGGCCCCTAGGTCAGGGGTTCTGGTGTTAGGGTGGGGCTCTGTTGAATATATAGTGAAAATGCATTATTTCTTTAAAAATCTTTTTCTTTGATCCTGGGTATTTAACAAGAAACCTGATGCATAGTTATGATGAGTAAAGGTGCCTCTTCCAAAATTATGAATTTCATGGCCCCTGGGTCAGGGGTTCTGGTGTTAGGGTGGGGCTCTAATGATTACATAGTAAAAATGCAATAATTCTTTGAAAATCTTCTATTTTTCTCCTGGGTATTAAGCTGATGAACTAAGAGTATAGTTATGATATGTAAGGATGCCTCTTCCAAAATTGTGAATTTTATGGCCCCTGCATCATGGTTCTGGTGTTAGGGCAGAGCTCTAATGATTACATAGTGAAAATGCATTAATTCTTTGATAATCCTCTGCTCTCTTTCTGGGTATTAAGTAAGCTTACTAAATGTAAAATTATGATGAGCAAGTGTGCCTCTTTCAAAATTGTGAATTTCAGGGCCTCTGGTTTAAAACATGAATCCATTGTGGCGAAGTTGTTGCATGATACTCAGGTGACCTATAAGGCCCGTGGGCCACTTGTTAGTTATAGATACGATCGGATCTAGAATCGAGGACAACAAATGAAATCTAAGAATATCTAAAAGGCGTGAAGGGTATACTTATCAAAATAAAATTAATTGATCATTGAATGAATGTCCGATAGAATTAATCTGTAATTAATATTGTAAAGGGCTTAATTTCAGAATAAATGTGTAAATTACTTGATTATCTTGGGTTGTACATAATTTATATTCATCATCGGGAAAACAGTTAATTACCTAGGAAAATTGTCTATGGAAATATTTGTTTACTTTTTATCAAAGATTATAATCATATCTCTTATCAGGCAGATAATTGTAATTTATTACACATATTGAAACTGAACAGTACTGAACAGTATACCGTTACGGCTATCTTGCCTTATGTGAGACGACTGTTTCCTCAGGTGGGGCTACTATAAATACACGTTTCATTTGTCAAAATTATACTTTTCTACAATTAAATCAATTATTTATTTCAAACATTGACAAATATCAAATGGAATTTCTTATTGTACACCTACAAAAGTCTTCATACAATTTTACTTCCAATATAAGCATACCTACGAGAGTAGGATGATGCATATTTAAAATAAAACAGATTTTATTTATTTTATCGAATATTCGAATATATTCGAATACTTTCATTGAATATTCGAATATGAATTATTGACAAAATTGACATCCCTAATGATAGTACATATTTTTGCAAGAAAGATATGATTTATTTATAGTCATAATTTCTTTTTTTTTTAGTATACCATATGTGCATTGTTGATTTTTATTCAGATGTTCTTTCAAAATATATATTATATGATTATGATGAAGCTATTGCTAGTTTTAAAAAAATCATATTTGATGGAATTGGTAGGTATATGCATGCTTAATGGAAAACATGAGCATAATATGCAGATTGCTTAAGTATTCAAAAAGAAATTAAATGGAAACGATGTTTTGCATCCTTGTGCATTGTTATTTACATATATATATATATATATATATATATATATATATATATATATATATATATATTTGTAAAATGCAGGAACTTCATCAGATCTCGGAAAACCAGGATTTGGAATAGCAACCTGGCCTCTTACAGCTGACAATCCACTGAAGGTTGTAGAGAGCCTGTCTAGTCCTGGAGGGACCTTCCATAGGACACACTGCAGCATGGCATCATCCAGACTTCACCAGTCTGATGGAAATCTGTCATACTATGTACAAGACTCGCCAAGTGTACTGGCTGGTATGTCGTATTTATGTTGTGTGGAATATTTTCAGTTGTTAAGTTCAGAGATTGTGATTTGTTCTCTGACCCATGAATTAAAGAAAATTACAACTGATTGTCTGAAATTTAAATACACAAGGAGTGTACATCATATATTCGTTATTATTTGGTGACCTTTGGATACCTCATGATTTTTTTTTATGATTAACCCCCCCCCCCCCCTTTTTTTTTCATGAACTGTAATTTGATTAATTTGAACTCATTTAAAATGTAGACATGACCTCCCAAAAGGTGGACTCAGATCTGAGAACTTTGTTTGCCATTGGAAAACTGGATGATTTTGAAAAGTTGAAGAAAGAAAACGGAGAATGTGCAGTTGTGCTTAGAGGAATAGAAGCACGGATTCATGACAGGTTGAAGATCTTCCGCAATATGTCTCCAAGGGAGGTAAGCCTATTGGAAAACAAGTTTTGTCATTGTGTTGGTGCAGGTTTTGCATTTTTAAAATGATCTATGTTGGTAATGGAGCTATAAGTGTACACTGTGTCCAAGTAAAGAAATTATATTTTTATGTGCGAACCCTCAAATAATTAAAATGTTGTTCAATTTTTTCAGTTCATCAAGGTAAAAATGTTCACTGGTATTCAGACATTGTACCTACCCAGCCTCTAATCTATCTAATCAAACTAGACCTTAATTTTAATGCATGTTTAGGATTATGCAGAATTTTGGTTCAGATTATGCCTTTGGGATTTATCATATATAAAAGTATATGAAGTGTATCTATCTAATACAGAAAGTAGATGCAAGTTTGCCTGCTAAGAAAATTCATATAGCATGTTGCAAATGGGTACCAATGTGTATGCACTAGTGAGGGTATTTTATTTATCCGGTGATGTCATGGGTCTTGTTTACATGTATGTGTTTTTGCATGTTTATCATGTATGTATCCTGTACAAAAAAGACATTATAATTTCATTATTATTTCATCATTTGTACTAGATATTTTATTTCATTGTGATATATATCATTTTGATGACTCTAAATGTGTATAGTGAGTAGTGTCCCCTGAGAATATTTTCAGTTTTCTTGCCTGTACAATTATTCATGTGTAAATCATTCATGAAATTTCACTTCTGTTGTCTTTGAAAGTCAAACATTCTTGCATAATAGTAATACATACCAGTAATGCATTTAAAAGATATCGGTAAATTTTGTCCATGGAATGACAATGCATGACATTTTTAAGTAAGTAAGAGGGAATTCTTATATTCCTAAACTTTTCGATATACTGTAGATGTACTTTTTTCCACGTGGGATTAATTTATGCTATGTACGTGGTCACAGATTTTCTGTGGAAATTTGTCCAAATTCCTCTAAGACATAACAATGACAATCCAAGAAATCTGTGTCATTTTCTACCCATGGACTGAGCAGAAATTGTGATTCCGCAGAATTATGACCCCTTAGAAAAAAGTACGATTACAGTGCTTGGCCTTGTGAATCAAAATTCCTGTAAATGTATATATATAATCCCTGAATATATAAGTAATTATAACTCACAACCTAAGATAATACAAAAGAATATTCCTTCAAATATATAAGTGAATTGTGGCTATAATGCATCATTTATTGCTGTGCTTTGAGGTAATGTACAAAAGCTATGTATACAACAAATTCTGTTCCTCTGTAGAGTATGGAGTACAGTACTCTGAAGGAACTCTCTCTGAGTGTGGAGAATTTACGCATCTGTCTGAATGAGGAAAAGTCCCTCCTCAGCTGTTTCTGGACCAGCTCCCTCCCCAAGGAAGGCGTGGAGTCAAAGCTTCTGTTTGAGGTGAGATATTGCTGGTGGGGTACATAATCCTTAAAAATCTGGACTAAACTGGAATCAGTTTGATGTGGCAGGCTCATCTCCCTTCATGATTAGATACCTAGATCAAAAAGATCTATTTTTCTAATCATTAAATTGCAAGAAATTTATACCTTCAAATTGACTCTCTTTTTTTTCAGAATGAATCTCTGAAAAATGAGATAACAGCAATCAAGTCCAAATACTCATTTTTGACTCAGTTTGTTCACAGTGCTGAGGAGAGACTCCATGCAACGAATCAACAGAAACAAAACATGGAGGATTTCATCTATAGGCAATGTAAGTACATGTACACCAAAATGTAACCTTCTAAGAGAATTGGGAAAGGTGGTTACTGTAGCATGCCAGTCAGCCGTAAAATCCATTATGCAGAAAGTCCCTTATTTCAAACAAAAATTCTGTTTATGGAGATCTTAAAAACAAAAAATTATTTTTTCATACCTAATGAAAAACCAAAATTGAGTTTGGTAAAGGTAAAATAATTATTTCATGGATTTGTATCATTCATTCCACAAGGTTAGCAAAAATCTACACCAGTTAGATTTCACGAATTACAAACACACATATATTGACAACAGGTTCCCTGATGGTTTATTTGAACCTTTTCACATAACTGGAGGGTTGATCTGCACCTAGAACACCATTTTTTTTTAAATCAAGATTTTACATCTTAGATTAATTTGATTGCTATAGTAAATTCAGGGTTTTCATATACAGTACATATTGTATTACTTTCTACTAAATACTATTTTGAATGTTTGCATGTTGGTTTGCCTTGTCTGTATTATGCATGCCTTGATCATTTTGCAGACGACAAATTACTGACCAGTATTTTATCCACTGGTCAGTTCAACTTAGCCATGGTACCGGGCGGCACTGCATGGTTTGTTGACACCAATCATTATTCTGGATTTTGTGTGCTCATTCCCCCCATTTAACATCATCAAAAGCTAGATTTCATTGTACAAAAACAATTTTTTCATCAACACTTTTGACAATTTTTTTTTCCCTAAACATACTAGCTGCAGTTTTTCTATTTGAAGTGAAACATGCTTTAACAATCTTTCATAAAACAATTTCTTCAACTAAACTTACATAAAATCTCAATACATCTATTTAGTTTTATGTGTGGCTTTTAGAAAATCATCTGCTTAGAGCACATTCACATCATGGGTCATCAAAAAATTGAATCCATTTCATGAATTATCTCAACTGTGATATTTTAATTTTCATGGATTACAGACCACCATTTTGTCAAACATTGTTCCTTTCTCATCCTCTTAGCATTTTTCTTATTAAATATCATGACTTATTTTTTTCTTACTAGTACTTTATAAATGCAATAATTTGAATAAATTGACTACATATAACCTATTAAACATTAAGAAACTTAAACTCTCCTTAAATATGTATTGATCTTGCTAATGAGTCTTCTTGATCTTTAAATTAAATGTTTCTGGAGACTTTATATATTTATCTAAAAGAATTGTTTAAAAAGAGAAATGAAGTTGGTTCCAGACCTAATATTTGAACCTTGCAGATCTGAGTTAATAATTATGCATTTCATTTTTCAGTAAAAAAGACTACCAAAGTAATGGTGCATGCCCGTGGAAACTTTGAGAAAAAGTTGCTGCACTCTGGACCGGAAGATAAACCCGAAAATCAAAGAAAGTCCCGAGGATATAAAGGAGACCCTTCAGTGTATTCCGATAAATAACAATTATGAACAGGTACTCACGTACCATTAGGGGGAACAAAATGTGGGCATCATTATCAAAAAATGTTCAGTGCAGTTTCTCAAAAGAAAAATGCATACACATTGAAGCATTTGTGATACACTGATATTCATGTGTACACAGTTTGCGACAAAAATAATGTAGTGCAATGACACATGGTATAGACATATATAGAAAACCAGCAGCATGGATCTTCCCATTAACTCGTATCAATGCCTGCAGTGGTCACTGCCTTCAAAGAGTTCATCTGAGAGAAAATTCTGGATAAGTACTCAAAACTGCAGACACCTTGTCTTAAGTGTATCAGAAAAACTGGAGCATGCTTTCAGTACTTTACAATGTCGAGTTTATCCGATGTGCCAATGACTTATTATTTTGTGTTGTTTTTTGCATGTTGTGTTAAATGTATTTTTTTTTATCACTTAATCATTACTACAATATCATTATATTTTTTTTTCTCCCGTTGAAAACTTCTTAGTTTAAAATGCATATTTTTTCTTTTCTTTTTATAACTGCATTCATTTACTCATATTATGGGACCAAATGTATTTGGTAGAAAACAGACATTTTGATATATTTTCATGAACATCTGATTGATTTTTTTTTTCCATGAATGAAGCTGATATAGTAAATTCAGCAAGTCTTCCTGTACAGAGATTGAAATATCTCATGTGCAATACATTTATACTTTGAAAAGCATGTAAAACCTTGTCTCTGGTAATGTGTGTACATATATATATTTGTATATGTCATTTGATAGGGGACATTCAGCAGTGGAAATATTTTGTGTTAATTTATTCTATAGAAGAAAACAGCTTGTTAAAAGAGGAAATACGTATTAATCAAATATTTTGTCTGTTATCAAAAACTGAATAAAAGAATTGAAAGGATGTATGTTTTGTTTTCTTGGGAATACATGGAAAATGTTTTATTAGGGCCCCGCAAGTAATCACTCTGTCCGTCTGTCATTCTTCCGTCCACAAATTTTCTGTATTTTTCTAATAACTTTTTTTGTAGTTGGCCAATTAAGTTCAAATTTGGTATGTTGGTTGAAGAGGCAGTAAGACATATTTTGATGCTAAGTTTGGTACTCTATGTCATCCAGTTTGGAGCTGGGGTGGTGGGGTAGATTCCTTAACGTTACATTAGAATGAATGTCAGGGCAAAGAGAGATAACTGCTGAGAATGTTCCAATTGTAAACTATGAAAGCTGCAACTAGTCCCATGGGATTAATTAACTTTCCTCTTGTAGAAAATCCAAAGCATTATCTGTTGCTGTCAAATTGAGATTAATTAACACCTCTGTCTGCAAATGAAGTTTGTTTTGAAGTTAAGGTTAATTCTGAATGATGTTTACATTCTCTGATATGTGGATTTAAATAATGTTCATACTTTATTTTGGTAAAATATACAATGATTTATGAATTTATTGAATTCTAAAAACAAGATATACATAAATATATGGGGTTTTTTTAAATTTTTTTTTTATTTATTTTATTTATTTATTTATTCATTTATTTTTTTTTTGGCTGCCGTGTGTAAATTCAAGAATACTATTAATTTTAACGGGTAGTCCAATAATAAACTCATTCTATCATTACTGAAAGAGTTCTTGTAGTAAACTTGGAAGAAAAGAATGAGAGAGCAGTACAATTAATCCCTTGGGATTAATTATCTTGACTGGGGCAGAAAATTTTCCAGGCTTATCTTTATTTGTCATTTTAAGATATATTAACCTTTGTCTGCAACTGATGTTTGTTTTGAAGTTAAGGTCAAGTCTGGGTGATATTTGTTTTCACTGAAGGCTGGCATTTTATAAAACACATGCTTTATTCTTGTTTAAATATACATTTAATTGAGTTATTATAGATATGTTTTTCACTGCCTTACCGGGATGTAAATACAGGGATACTCTTTACAGGTTGTTGGATATTTAGGAATTATCTTGAAATTTTATAAATACAGTTGTTATTGCATATTCTCCTTCATATATTTTTAAATTTTTGTAATCAATTAAAATTCTCATTCTGTAAGCTGCACTCTTATATTTCTACCCCTCGGCGGGGCCCTTGCTGACTGGTCAGTTTTCTAGTTAAGCTTCAAGGATTGCCAGAAGTACTCATGTATAAGGACTGAGACAATGTAACAGCTTCAAATACCATAGTGTCTCTATATTTAAGACATGGTTTCAAAGAGAGCTTATATTTGAAGACTTGAAGGGAGATAAGTCATATTATTATATACCCAACAGTGTATCACTCAATTTTACTGTAGATTTTGTACAATCATATGACGGTGTGATCCGACTTTCCGCATCACCACTCTGTGGTTTTCTGAATCCATATCACCCCTCTTTGAAATTGATGACGTAGTACACAGAAACATGACGTTATTTTTCTAGCATTAAAAAGTCCATTGACACAATGCTTTGTTTAATGGAAAAATATTAAATAATTGGTCTCAGTTTTTAAAACTATATCTTGCTAGTTGTAAGGGGGTATAATTTAATTCTGGATGTAACACTGTATTTGATTGGATAAAAAATTTACTTTATATCGTATAAAATGGGTTGCCTACGTCACAATGACGTGTCAAAAACATATCGATCCGTCTGACATTACATTCAAATTTTGTGCAAATTGAAGTCATTTTTTAAGGACAATCATCTTTTTTTTCTTACACCAAATGAATGAAAATTAAATTATAAGTAATGAATTTAATAGCTACCCAATTTATACGGTATAAACTGGGTTGGAACAGTTTACGCTTTTTTTTTTATAAACCGCTTCATGGTTTATAAAGCGTAAACTGCCCCAACCCAGTTTATACCATATAAAACAGGTAGCTATTAAATTTATTCCTTATATATAATAAATTTATCATTATAACAGTAACTTGATCCGAAGAGCTGTTTCACGTCTCATTGACAGTCGCAGATCATCAGATCAAACTCGACGCTTCGCGTCTTGTTTGATCTGATGATCCGTGCCTGTCAACTCAATGTGATACGACTCTTCAGATCAAGTTACTGTTATAATAATATATATTCATTAACATTTTAAGTCTTATATGAAACTCGTGCAGGTTTATTCCAGAAAAATCCTCACATAGAAGAGTGACCTGAACAGAATAACTGGAGTTTTCGTTTCCTTCCTGGCCTACTAGGAAACTTGGGTTTCTCTTCTAAAATTGGGAATTTCATGGCCCCTGGGTCAGGGATTCTGGTGTTAGAGTGGATTGAAATGGATGTAGCAATTAAATATGCACAATCCTTCTTTTGAAGAATATGGATGAAAACTGTCAGTTGACTTCTTCTGAATGTTATTTAATCTGAGCAACATATTGCTGTTATTAAAAGTAATAATTTACTTCTACGCAAGCTAGATTTTTTTTTTGAAGCCAAAAGTAACTACAAAGTGAGGATGTATTCCTGTCTCTCATTTCTATGTAACGTACAAATAAATACATTGTAATGCAATAATATTTCAAGTACTTTCATTACTTGATATGAATAATTTGAAGACAGCAGTAAAAATACTTAATGAAAGAGGTGAAGATACTGAACAGTGATTGATCTTAAAAAAAAAAAAAAAAAAACAGTAGAAATCTGTGAATGGGGCATAAAACGTGGATACCCAGTGTAATCGGATCCCTAAGAGCATAGTCAAATAACCTGATTCTGCAATGTTTCAATCATTACATCCCATAATACAAAGAAAAAGAAAGCATTTTATTTTTTAATTAATCTCATTTTACAAAAATACCAGTGTAAAAATAAAACAAAAAACATATGTACTAGGAATATCAGCAATAAAAATGACTGCTTTGTGTCTTGTTTAAATTGTAAAATAAAATCAGACTTCTAAGCTACTTGGTGAATGTAAGTGTATGAAAAAAGACATTGTTTAATTTTTCAACAGTCAAATACTGGTACTGGAATTTAAAGACAATTAATACTAGTACCTCTATTTCATGAAACATCTACTGCAGCACTGATCAGTTGAGCAAAGTATTTTATACATGCAATTCCAAAATACACTATCACATTGTTAAATTATACCCCTTTCCTAACAATAAAACAAACCTAGAGCATTATACATAGTGCCCCTTTGTTAGTACATAGAAAAATCTACCATTAACCAATTAATTAGTCCTCTCCTCAATAAATCTCAATTAATTAGTCCTCTCCTCAATAAATCTCAATTAATTAGTCCTCTCCTCAATAAATCTCAGAAATCTGTCGGCATAAATGTCCGGCGGAACCGTAGAATGATCACAGGAACAATTCTTACACACCTTCAGAACTCGAGCAACCCGCTGTTTACACTCGTACTGAGTAAAAAAATCAATGATGCCCACGTAATATCTTTCATGAGATCCGTCAATTACATGCAAAGGGTTCTTGCATTCTAGTAAAAGTCTTCTATTTAGGGAATCATCCATATCTAAAGATGAAGAATCTAGCAAGCTGCCTAAACTTGTGGAAGTCTTTGTTGGTTTCATTGCTGCGAAGGCTTTGTTGAGATCCCTATGACGTACTCGTCTGGGAGATTCGTCTTCCTCTTGGATAGTATCTGAAGGGTGAACTTGATTATGCAAATGAGATGTGTCCAAGATTGATGAGGATTTCTTTTTAGCAAAAGATCTACAAGAGAAGGAAAGAACAAACTTGAACAAATTACCAGTACATATAAATTGATAAATTTATGCTGTAAATTTTTGGGGCTCAATGTTCATGGGCAATCAAAATTTTACTGGCTCATGGGAATGAAATTTTGTGGGTAACTTGTATATATATACAGGAGGTTCAATGAACAATTACATTGACAAAGTAAGGGTGACCCTCAAAATCCATGAACAAATGAAGATTATTCCACAGTATTAAAAAAAAATAATAATAAAAGAATTCAGTTTAAGATTGATTCTTAGCAACAAAGTTTTAGACAAATCACAAGATGCTTTTAGGATCTTAGGCGATTTATGTTAAGTTTAAATATTTTTGTGATGTCATTCTCTTGTTCCTATGGTCTTATATTTCAAAGACTGTACTTGCTTTGTCCAAAATTATATTTATGAGTACAGTATTATTTTTTATACTGTACTCCAAAATAATACTGGACTGAAATGGAGATATGTAAAAAAGAAAAAAAGGTTGATATTGCATAACTTTTTACACAAGAATAGGAATGTAGTATCGGGGGTGGGGTGGGGGATTCAAATACAATACTGTTCAGTATGAAAATTTTCTTGAAAGGCTAGTTCCCCCCCCCCCCCCCACACACACACACACATACACACTTTTTGTTGCAGTATGGTGTATGTTAATGTATCCCAAAACTTAAACAGACTATTTTTCAGATACAGTTACGAGACTCGACACCTTGTCTCTGTCTCGTATCTGACACATTAGACTATCTTCATCTTGTATCCCTTACATAACTGGTTTCCCCCTTTCAAATCAAAACTGGAAAAAGAGTATGAAATATACAATGACAGTGATGAATGACAATTTGAAAACACTAATATGGTGGACTTACTTCCTCATCCTGTACACTAGATTTCCAAATGATGTCTGTTGATCGTCAATATGGAGTTCGTGACGACCTAGAAGCAGACTGTAATCTTGCACACCTAATTCCCGCAGAAAATTCACATCATGGCGAAGCTGTCTCAGGAACCACTCTCGCTGACTTCCTGTAAAAATATTTGCGTTTTATACAGTTTTTGTCTTAGTTTCATACATGTATCTATAATATATGCATGAACAATGTTATACTGGATACTTGAAAAACTGATACATGATTTTCTTTATGGCATGTTTATTATACCCCCCGCAAACAAAGTTTAGGGGGGGTATATTGGAATCAGCTTGTCCGTCTGTCTGTCTGTCTGTAGATGAGATTTTGTCCGGACCATTTCTTAGAAAAAGTTGCAAGGATTTGTCTGAAAATTTGTACACTTATTCTTTTCCATATGAAGGTGTGCACCTGATATTTTCATCATGATTGGATAATTTTTTTGCATTTTACAGGTGTTTTTTTCATTTTTATTATGTGGTTTTGTCCAGATCTGTTCCCAGAGACTATTGCATAGATTTGTATGAAAATTTGTACACTTATTATTTACCATTTGAAGATGTGCACCTGGTATTTTCAACATTATTTGATAATTTTTCTGCATTTTACAGGTGTTTTTTTTTTTATTTTTATTGACTTATATTTCGGGTTCATGTCTAAGATTTGAGACATAGAATCTAGAACATCAGTACAAAAATGTGAACTACAGCTTAAAACTACTCATTAGAACTTAAAAAAAAATCACAAAGTATTAAAAACAGTTTTTACATTACACAGCAGATAGTGTAAATCCATTTGTTCCTTGGGAGTAATGAGTGGACATGCATCCAGTTAAAGATTAATTAATGAGTTCAGTGTGGGAAGCTGTTAGGGCATCTCTGATCAAGCAGGTCTTATCTATAACTCCTGGGAATTGGGCAGAAAGAAATAAAGATCTCTGTTGTCTAAGTCTCTTAATTGTAAATTATGTCTGTCAAAATACATAGTTACTGGAACCAGCCTTTTATTTTTAAAATGAGTTTGATATAAAGGTATTAAGATCAATTTGATTTTGTATAATTAATTATCATATGATTTTTTTTTTCAACAATCAATTTGCAGAGTGTCATGTCTCACAAAGATGACAGATAGTTGCAAACTATTTTTTCAATGTAATAAAAAACACTGTACCAGTAATTACTAGTATTGATGTTTTATTAGGCTGCACCTTAGTTTCATTCATTAAAAAAATACATAATGAGTAATTAAATTTTCACTCTAAATGTTTAAGCAAATTGTGAACACCTCTCACATCTAGAAAACGTTAGTGATTTGGTACTTTCTCTGAAAAACCCAGTGGGGGTATTTGTCCCTTTTGGACAGTTCTAGTTTTTTTTTAATATAAAGAAGTTTTTTGGATAAAAGAAACAAGGTAAATTTTCTTTTCATTGTTCTGATTTCTAATCAGAAATTCCTTACCTAGGTTTATAGTCTCATGATAAAAATTCTGATCCTTCAGAACATGGAGAACTCCCTTCTCCTCTGTATAGGGCTGAAATGTTAAAAAAAAATTTAATCTAAAAGTAGAGGTACTGTGAGTGAGCTTACAAGTTATAACTCCTCCCCCCTCCCCCTTTGCAGTTTTTTAAAGTGTCCTATACAATTTTCTAAATGTGACCTTGAACTTGCCAAAATGACCTTGGTTTAAAAGAGAAAAAAATGACATATCCTGTTGTCACAAGTATAACCTGTGGGTGGAATATGAAATCCAATGTGAGAATCATAGACCTGAATTTAATACTTTTTCTTCTTTGAACTTGACACAATAACCTTGCAACTGGGTCATGGTCAAGGTTATGACATACCTTCAGCTAAGGATAATTTTAGTTTAAAGTTTCAACTTCCAATACTTGTCTATCAAAGAGTAATGAATTGGACACAGATTTTATAATTTTTTGGCCAGTGACCTTGAACTTGCCTGACTGACCTTGGTTTAAGGTCATGACACACCTTTAGGTCATGAGCAATCTTGAACTTCAAATGTTTGTTTTAGACAAGAAAGAATTTTATACTTTCTCTGCCAGTGACCTTGAACTTACTGAAATGACCTTGGGTCAAGGTCATGACACATCCTTAGGTCATAAACAATCTTTGTACCAAGTATGAGCTTCCAATGATTTTCTATTACAAAGTTAAAGCCAAGACACAATTGCACTGACAGACTGATGGATGGACAACTAGACACATGAACAAGGTGATATTCCCCCAAACATTTGCTGGGGGTGTAACAATTAAAAAGATTCCTATCACACAACAGGGCAGAAAGAGAGTTGTTTCATATAAACACAGATAAATAGGTGACTGTTGCTTTTCAATATGAGGCTATTCTACTGGGGGATGGAAAAGTCAAATATGATAATTTAGATTTATTTGTTTTTAACAATAAACATAATTGTTGTTCAAGAAAAATTAAACAAATATCAGATCAATTAATCTTGTCAAAGATTATTTATAAAATTGTTTTTTACTAAAATTACCTTTTGATACCTGCCAGCAAGACATCCTTTCAAATCAAATCGTGCCTCAATTCTTTCCACAGGAAAGAACACATTTTGCATCACAAGGAAATACATCTGCAAAGAAAAAATAATAATAAATAAATAAATAAAAATCCTATTTCTACATCACAAAGGAACAGAATGGATTCAAATTGATAATTTAAAAATCTTTTACTGTAACACTCATATAGCAAAATGGCTCCCTCTTTCCTGTGAAACAGAACTTAACTAAGGAAGGTGGCTCAACTGCTATGTTGAAATATATGTATGTATTATTAAGTATTTGATTGGCATATTTAAAAAAGTATTTTTTTTTCTTTGTATGCAAATTACTGTGGAATCATCATTGTTCGTGGGGGGGGGGGGGGGGGGGGCAATGTTTGTGGATTTCATGGGTCACCCTTACCCTCCCCAAGACATTTATTTAGTAAACATATTGATTCATTGAATCTACTGTATAAACAAGTAACCCCAAATTACGACCCCATGAACAAGTAAAATTTTGTTTGCCAATGAACATTGACCCTCATGAATTAAAATGATTCCACAGTAAGTGTCAATCTAAAGTTTGCTTTCTCTTCCCTACTGATTAAATTTTCTTTGAAAAGTTTTGTTAGAAAAAATATTTTAAAAACATGTAATATACTGCACAAAAATAAGTCTTCATTCAGTAAATCTAAGATAATTTGAACAAGACGCCCATGGGCCACAATGCTCACCCAAGTCACATTGACCCTGCACTGTTTTTAATCAGCTGATATGCACAAATACCTGAGGATGCTTGCATATCAATAATAATGACTACTGTTCACAAAAGAAATTTTTTTTTTAGATTTTTCCCTATGTATTCCTTTATAAAACTTTGATCTCCTATTGTGGCCCCATTCTAACCCCAGGGATCATGATTTGAACAAACTTGAATCTACACTACCTGGGGATGCTTTCTTCTTAATATCACTAATCATGGTTTTTTCGTTGTTGAGAAGAGATTTTTTTTTTTTAAAAAATTCCTTTATATTCACATGTAAAACTTTGATCTCCTACTGTGCCTTGCCCTCCCCCAAGAAACATGATTTGTACGTAACTGAATCTACAACTACCTGAGGATGCTTGTATATTTTATGACTGATTATGGCTTTGCTGTTTTTGAAGCAAATTTTTTTAAGGCTTTTTCCTATATACTCCAATGTAAAACTTTGATCCTCTGTTGTGGCCACAACCTACCCCCAGGGTTCATGATTTGGACAAAATTGATTCAATGCTATGTAATGAAGCTTTATCAAAATTTTCATATTTTCTGGCCCAGTGTTCTTGAGAAGATTTTTAGGATGCCATTAAATTTTCACTAATACTTGTCTCCCTTTGAAAGAAGATATGGCTCTTCATTTGAATAAACTTGAGTTCCCTTCACCAAAGAATGCTTTGTGCCAAGTTTGGTTGAAATTGATCCAGTGGTTCTGGAGAAGAAGATGCAATCGTGAAAAGTTTTACAAAAGACAACAATAGACAATGGGCAAATTCTGATCAGAAGAGCTCACACAAGTATTTGGCTCAGGTAAGGTTATAAAAAAAAAAAAATTGTCTTTATTGCAATTTTTGTGAAAAAAAAAATTGAAATGCAATAATTAGGCTTAGAATTAATGGCAAAAATTCCCAATGCTCAAATTTCTGGATCAATGTAGTTCAAATTGTGCATGGTGTAGAAGATTGTGTTGTTAGCTTAACATATCATCAATTTGGATGAAATTCAAAAATGTTTCACATGCTTCCATTCTTGTTCTTTTTAAATCATGCTTCTAGTGTAGAACACACATTCAAAATTTTATTTCTATTATCATCATATTTTTTTTTATAAATTGGATGTACATTGTTGAATAAAAATATAAAGAAATTATTTTAGAGGACATTGTTATATAAGTATCCATAATGTTACCTTGGGTTGCCCTGCTACATTAATAGAATACAGTCCTAAGAATTTGACTATGAGTGAGTGTGGGTATCTCTGGAAATGCATCAGGTAGTCACTGAAATAAAACATTGAATATCAGCAGATTATTTTTACTGTCATATTTCTTGTCTTTTTATCACATGACAAGAAAATAACTTAGCTTATTCAATTGATTCTGGTATGCAAAGTCAATTCAGTTTTACACCCTTTTTGTTCATTTACAATTTACATGCATATAATTAATGTCAAATATAGCTAGGGTAAAACTTCAATTCCAGTTATTTTTTATAACACAATGAAAATATTTTTACCCAAGAATTGACATGAAGAATTCCAAATGGTATTTCTTGTCAGTTTTCAGGATGAACTGCTGATCGTTACTGTAATGTACAAGTGTCAGAAATATAGTTTACAAATTCATATACCTGGAGGTCTATTTTCAAGATCATAGCAGCTAGCCTAGCCACAAGGCTGGACATCTAGGTCTACCATATATACTCACCTATAAATAGGATTTTTGGGAGTTAAACTTTGGTCAAAAACTCTATGTCCGACTTATAGGTGAGTTATAAAAAGACTGGTATTTTAGAAGGTCAATCCCTCTAATATAAGCTTCAAAAATACAACCAACTTATAGGCGGACAGACTTATAGGTGAGTATATATGGTATATTGAACACACTCTATGAATTTATGCTTGTTATCCCTGTACATGTACAAAGTGGCTACGCTAGCATTGTTCAAAATTGTAGCTCTATGCAGTGCTAGGTAGCTGCTACAATCCTGAAGACAACCAGGCATTTAAAAACAGTATACAGAATCTAACTTTTAATCTAAGTAATTATTCATTATTACTGTTTATTACTTATATTTCATTCTGCTTTCTTTTTGTGGGACAACTACTAGTTGCGTTTATTTAAGACATAAATTTTCTGTCTCATCAATATGATATCAGTTTACAAGTTACTTCCCCTGTTTGTGAAAATTTCATCTTGGTGTCGAGATGACTTTTTGGGAAATACTCAAATACAATGTAAATCTCCCAAATAAAATGAAATTTACAGTAATCAAAATGCAAGAATACTGTATTCTGGTTTTAAATGGTGTTTCAAATTTCATTTCAAAAATTCAAATTTAAACATTTTTAAGTTCACCTGAGATAGAAATCCTGCCCACTTCTAGAATTGCTAAAAAATTCCATATAATCCAGGTCATCTGGAGCTACTGATGACAAGAAATCCTTGTCAGAAACAGACACTGCTCTTCTGATGCAGGAAAATACAGAACTAGCATAACTGCGGAATTTGAATTTCTAGAAATGGAAATTATTAAAAAGATTACCAACATCTCTTAACTTAATTTAATATTATTTCATATTTCATAAATATTCAACTAAATTCAACCTTTTGCATATATTACAGCATTATTATACAGTGATCATTTTAGTTTTTGAAAATATTTTCCTTAATCTTACTGATATATATAATTATTACCTTTCCTTGATTAGTTTTAATTGTTTTGCTGTGAATATGGCAAAAGTCTTCTTCTGTCAATTCATCCTGAGAAAGATCAAGAGAATACAGGTGAAATAGTTTTAGAATATTTTGTTTTCATTAAATCTAACAATACTCAAGTTTTTATGAGCACAAAATCTCAAATATTTTCACTAAAATATAAGTAGCAAAATCATTTCTGTGTGTAACTGGAAAGGAGAAAAATGCAATGGACCAGTCCAGGACTTGAGCCAGGGCCTCCTGAATCACTTAAGTCAGGTGTTCTACCAACTGAGCTATCTAGCCACTGGCAATCAAACAATTGTGGTGGTCAGGTGGATTTGATCGCTGGTGGCCAGATAGCTTAGTTGGTAGAGCACCTGCATGGAGATTCAGGGGGTCTGGGATCGAATCCCGGTCTGGTCCATTGCATTTTTCTCCCCTCCTATTACATTTGGTGCCCTGGAAGTGAGAGGTGAAAGACCTGCCAGGGATGAGCCTAGGTTGGTGTCTTCGGGGGCCAAAGACCTTTAAGAAGGGAGGAATGTGGTGGTCAGATAGATTTGATTGTCGGTGGCCAGATAGCTCTGTTGGTAGAGCACCTGACTGGAGATTCAGGGGCTCGGGTTTGAATCCTAATCTGGTCTGTCTCATATTTCTCCTCTCCCATTACACAATCATGACCATCACATTCCTCCCTCCTTAAATGTCTTTGCCCCCAAAGACACCAACCTAGGCTATTCCATGGCAGGTCTATCAACTGTCACTTCCAGGGCATGCATGGTCTCATCACCAAATGTAACCAGAAAGGAGAGACAGACCAGCTGAGCTATCTGGTGATTAAACCTGCCTGACTGCCACATTCCTCCCTTCTTAAATATCAGGAAAGGAGAAAATTATGGCTGGACCAGGAATCAAACCCTGGACCCTGCATCACTAGGCAGGTGCTCTACCGACTGAACTCCCCAGGTTGATACAGTAATGCAGGTATCCCAGGTTCAAGTCCTACCTATAATTTTTTTCTCCTTTCTTGCTACAATTCTATACCCTAGATTTTGAAATTATCAAACCATATAATTTACCTTAACCCCTAGTTCTGGATGTTTGTCAAATAAGTCCTGAATTCCTTCTCTGATGCACTCAAGAGCTCTATAACGACGGTGATGTTCATTTACCACAACAACATCTTTCCTCTGCCATTTTTTCCACAATTTCATCCACTTGTTGTTGGATAAAGATCTTGAAAACTGTCTCTTTGGAGTTGCCATGTTTCATGTCAAATCAGCTTTATCTAGATATGGAATTTTTATCTGTGGTAAATGAAGGCTTCAAAAGCTTAAATTGAGGGAATGATGGATTGAAAATGTTTTAATCAAAATCATTCAAGTATTTTAATTTTGTTTTATTGTAATTTCTTACTAATAAAAAAAAATCAATATTGTTGTGATTTTTTTCATAAAAAAAGATGGTAACATATAAAATCTAATTCCCTTAAGTTGGCTTAACGGCAGTTAGGCAAGTGTACATGTATTATTTACAATAAATGTGATAAATCAACATTGTATAAATTTAACTTTTTACCGAGAACATTCGGATTTCGATGGAGGCAAATACATAAAAAAAGAAAAACATTGTTTATACCAAAAATATGACACACTTACACTGTCTTGCTGTCATACTGTAACTGGAACACTTGACAAACTGTGTCATATGAGATCAGTGCCTGACAACTTGTAAACAGTTGTGATAATCGGAACTCATCGGATGTTTTCGAGCCTTATACTCTCTACTTTCATTTTACTTTTTAATGGCGCGTAAAGCAAGTTTCAGAATGAATACAATATGTCAAAAGAAACAAAAGCAGAATTGACAGAATCAGATGGATCCAGAAAGCTAGAGGACGAAAACAGCTTAGGAGATGTGAAGTTTTATCCACCCCTATACACGCAGAGGTACTCCTTTGCCACAAAGATCTTGGAAAAGCATGGTGTTAAATGGGTTTGATTATTATTATATTTTATTTATTTATTTATTTATTTTTTGCGAACTGTATTGACAGAATGAGAATTGAATTAAACATTGACCAAAATCTGAAGTGGAAAGAGAATATATGCTATAGGTAACATTAAAGAATTGATACATTTCATGAAAAGAAGAAAAAAAAATGCATTAACAATATAAGAACTAATCATTATTAATTTCAGGTGGTTGATCTAGGATGTTCAGAGTGTGCAGTTGTGAGATTTTATAGAGAGGTTCCAAATCTACAAAAGATACAGCTAGTGGACATTGATAGAGAGACATTAGATTTTAATAAAAACCGCATTAAACCACGACCATCAGATTATATATTCAAAAGGACTAATCCACTGAGTATTGAGATTTATGAGGGGAGTGCGACAAGTTTAGATAAAAGAACTGTTGGATGTGATGCTGTTTCTATGATTGAGTTGTAAGAATTATGATTTTCTTTCATAGTACAATTACCTTAAGACTGTTAAAAAGTTTTTTTCTTTGTTATCAAAAATTATCTGTATGTATATCTGAGTTACTGTATTTGTTACTTTCATGCCGGTTTATTTGCCCGATTTTAATTTTGCGTTGACACAGATTCATTAAAGAGATAATGCTGTCTTCTTTAAATTTGTCCTGTCTTAATTTTGCCCACTTGTGACAAGCTTGAAAGGGGCAAAAATAAAAAGGAGGCAAAAATTTTCCCATTTAGAGTACTTATCTTTTCCTTTTTAAGCATTTACCTTCAATGTCAAACCCTGAGTTATATCCAGAGTTAGCTCTGCTCACAATACAGTGTATTTCCATCAAACTTCCATTCTGTGTTTAGTTCAGTTTCAGAAAAACTTTGTAGTCATTTTTTTTTTTTACCAAAATTCATACTCTGATAGGTTTTCGGGAAAGCAATTTGACCATCAGAAATTTTCTGACCTTCAAATCATGTCTGACTTTTGACCTTACTTTTCCTCAAATTGTGATTGGCATATTTTCAAAGATAATGCTTTGTCCATTAAGGACATTTTCATGTAACTTCATTCACCAAATATTTTGACCTTTACCCTATCTTTGGCCTTGTATTATCTTAATGTGCTTTAATCTGTTCATTTTCACAGCATAGAGCACCTTTATCCAGATATTCTTGAGAAAGTTGAGGAGAATGTATTTGGGCAACTCCAACCCAATTTGGTAGTAGTTACCACTCCTAACTATGAATTCAACAGTCTCTTTCCAGGAGAACTCAGATTTAGACACTATGACCATAAGTTTGAGTGGACAAGAAGTGAATTTCAAAGCTGGTAAGATACATTATTTTTAAAGTAAATATTCATACTGTATTTTTTGATGTAGGCCACAGATTACATCCAGAATACCTTCAGCCTTTTAGGGAAAAACACCCTAAGAGGCCCAAGGTGTTCAGATGGGACTAATTAGAGTAATTTTAATTTAAGAATGTCTGTCTATACATTCATCTTAGTGAAAATGGTTTTTGCAGTGATCATTTAGTGGGGTAGTGTAATAAGTATACACCTAAAAGTAAGAGCCTAGGTTAACACCCCAACATTCTTTATATACCTCATTATGTGGCCTCCAGTCAGAAATATCTGACCATAAACCTCTAGCATGCTAGAGAACTTCATTACCAATGATTTCCTTAAGTAATGTATTGGAATGCTACACAAATCTTTCCTACTTTGTGAAATCTAAAAATGAAGTTTTTCACACTGTTCTTAGTTGCATGTCATTGACTAATCAGTATTTCAAAAAAAAAAAATTGAGATTTTGAAAATTTCATTTAGAAAAAAATTTAAGTAGGAAATAATTTGGTAAACAAACAGAGGTCTACCATGTTAACAATTTTCCCTATATATCTCTATCCTTAGTTGCATGTCATTGACTAATCAGTATTTCAAAAAAAAATTGATTTTGAAAATTTCATTTAGAAAAAAATTTAAATAGGAAATAATTTGGTAAACAAACAGAGGTCTACCATGTTAACAATTTTCCCTTTCTTTATCCTTCTAGGTGTCAGGGTGTGTGTGAGAAGTATAAATACGCTGTGGAGTATACAGGGATTGGGGATCCTCCATTGGAATCTCAGCAGGTCGGATTTTGTTCCCAGGCGGCCATCTTTACTTCATCATCTCAATCTAAACCATCTGTTGAGTCAAAAGGAAATTGCTATTGTTTAGTGAGTACTGTAAATAAATTTTTATTTGCAAGAACTTTATTTTTCCGATCACCCACAGTTTGTATGAGTATATTAAACTCTGTGTTAGAATATTTCAGTGAGTTACATGTATTTACACTTTGTGTGAGTACATTTCAATGAGTCTATTACACTTTGTGTCAGTACTTTTTAATGAGTCCATTACACTCTGTGTGAGTACATTTCAGTAAGTCTATTACACTTTGTGCGAGTTCATTTCAATGAGTCCATTACATTCTGTGTGAGTACATTTCAATGAGACCATTACTCTCTGTGCGAGTACATTTCAATGAGTCTGTTACACTCTAAGTATATTTCATTATCAGAGTCTATTTCACATTGTGAGAATGTTATACTTCTCAGTGTGATGATATTTTAATGAGTCTAATTAAGGGCGAAATGATTACACCTGTAAACGGCGACGTTTCGATTAAATGCTCTAAACGTTTACGAATTGAGTAAACGTTTACACGAAGGTCATTATCAATGTCTATCAGAAGTAAAGATAAATACAAACAAGTTGTTTTATTTCATATTTACCAATGAAATTATTGTTTTCTGTAGCTAGCTTATTGGCCGCTAGCTTGACTTTTAATCGATACCGGAAACATGTTATTATAATAAACTATCTAAAACCAAATACTGTCTAACATATTTAATTCCGATTTCCGAGTAGCAAATACTAACGATGTATTATGATTTTATTTTATTTTTCAAAGTACAAAACTTGATTTACTTTGATTAAATAAATATAATACGTTTTCACCAGTCTTTGAAAAGTGTTTCAATACAGTCAGCAGACCGCGGTATACTTAATTCAGGATTAAAAGAGCCATCTTTGCAAGTTTAATTTGACAATGCTTTTTCTACGTCGGGTATGTAGCCAAACAAACTATTAATGCAATATTGGGTGGCGGTTTAGAAAGTGAATGAGTTTTATGCGCTTCATATTCTTTTGTCATAAAAACCAACAAATAAATAGTTAATGTATAACAACTCATACTCACATTATAGTGAAAGAATAGAGTATTAAATTAGTGTTTCATGAGTAAGTATCCATAAAAATTCAACAAAATATTCTCCAGTTTAAACGGTAACATTTCGTTTTACTGCTGTTCGTTTAAACGTTTACAAAATTCAGTAAACATTTCACCCTTAAGTCTAATACACTCTGAGGATTTTGATTATATACAGATATAATTAAAATTTCTTTGTCTTCTTTATAAATACCAAATCATATCTCATGAAAATATAGTGGCACATAAATTTGGAAATCCAGAGAATCGAAGTAAATATAAGATATAGTAGATGAAGAGAACAGTATGTATTTTCAGTGCCTACTGTGTATAGTGAATGCTAAAAAAGTTGTGCTTGCATGGTGTTTTCTTGAACTGCATTAATTGAAATAAGAAGGTATACAATGTTGGTGTGTCTTGTTTTTTTCTTTTCATAAAATACAAATGCAATATACATGTACATGTATAATTTTCCTGTCTTAGGTTGCAGAATCTACATTTCCATACAAAGATAAGGACACCTTATCTGTAGAAGAAACCCTGAAGTCGGAGGTGTCGTACATCATTAATTTACTCACAAGGAATCATCAAACTATGGACTTTGACCAGTCATGTTTGTGTGTACAGGAAGACGACAAAGAACAAATGGAGATCCCTGTTGAACATTTGATGTTCTTCAGTAGAATTTCTAAATTAGTCAAAACTGATGATCTAAAGTGAGTCTAACATAATACTTGATGTCCATCTTTTCATACATACTTTGTATAATTTGTGCATTTACACAAATTTTCCAAACCTGTACATGTAACATTTCAATTATACTTCACATGATACAGTCAAATCTTGTTACCAAGAAAGAAAACTTTGAAACTCCAAGATTCAAGATATTGAGATTAAAATACATAAAGAGTTGGGACTTCCAACTTACTTTAACATATCTGTGGATTTCTTGATACATGTATTGTTAGAGATACTGAAGTTCATTCACTGTAGCCACTCTAGCTTAATTGAAAACAAATTTTCTTGAGATTAGTATTTTTCACTTTTCGGGGTTTTTTTTTTTCGGTTGTAGGAAATTTTTGCAAGATAGTGGTTACCAGCTTACAGAGGACCAAACCAGAGTGATCATTCCCTTGGAAGATGATTGGGAAGATAGATACGGCAGCGAAGAGGAGAGTGAAATGGACACTTGTGTGGAAGATTCTAATGAGAACTCTTATGAGGCAGCCACTTCCTGTGTCATTGACACTGAGGAGATCTGGGATTGATTTGAACAAGGGTTAATATTATTCTTGTTTTGCATCTTTTTAAATTTTTGTTATTTTTCATAGATATTTTAGTTTTTGACTTTAGTTTTACTTTTTGTCTTGTTAAGACATTCCTTTTTGTCTTGTTAAGATATTCTTTTTTTTTTCTTTATTAATTTAAAAGAAGAATTATTAAGTATTGCATGATATTTGTGCAGGAGCTACTTCTCTCATGAGAAGGAAATTTAATTCTTTTAATTGTTTTTACTTATGGAAAAAGTATTAATAAAATTGAGAAGAAACTTGAATATTTTATTTATCCTTTTCCCACTGATACACATTTTAGGACAAATGAATAATTAATCTTATGAATATTATAATTAATCTTTGAATTATGAAACAATGAAATCATTCCAATATCTTATGTTCAAAATATGGGTTATGTGTATTTACTCCTAATCCCAGACAAGTAGATAAATAACTCCAGGACAAGCATTATGGATTTGGCAATGACTCAAAAGAAGTTAATCTTTTATATACTTTTGTTTGAGTACTTTGTTAAATCCATATTTCTTCTAGCAATTATTGTACTTATATCTTTTATTAAATGTATTGATGATGAACAAAAATTTATCATGTAAATAACAAAGATAGACTGACAAAGAGATAGGTATTTCTTGCTTAAAAACTCACTTCATATAATCAGGTACATGTATCATTCTAGTCAATTGTTTGATCAATGTAAGAATACTAATGGAAAATCTATATTCTTTTTGAAAAAAAAGTTTGAAAGTGCATGTTTCATAAGCATAAATAAACAAATTTTAAAAAGAGAACTAAAAGGCCACAGCACTAAACAAAATCATTGTTTCCTTTCAGGCAAGAGATTATTGCCTCTAACTTGACAGACACTTCCAACAATTTTAATCTATAGTAAGTTAACTGATAACATATTTACACATTATATCCTAATTGTTGAAGTAAAGAGAAAGCCTATATATTCTTATGTGATTATGACCCCCCCCCCCCCCCCATTGTAGCCCCACCCTGTAGAGCCATATGATTTCAACATATTTTAATATTCACTACATAAGCAAATGATATTGCTTTAGCAATGTCCTTCTGTTCATATATTGAAGAATTTTGAAGGGATCTTATGTATTAGTTTGACTTACTGAAGCTCTTTGGTTTTTGAGATTTTGCACCAATTTCTTCCTGTAATTTTTGCCCCCCCCCCCCTCCTCCCTCTTTGTGGCTTTACTGTATTATCCATGGGGCAATAATGGTACGCATAGGATTTTACACTATAGGGATTCTTGTATTTATTTGCCTAAATGTTAGCCCCGTTATCTGCAAAACAAAATAATTTGAGGTTTCTTTAGAAAGCATTATCCCCTTTCATTGCCCTACTCTGTCATCAATGGGGCATGATTTGATCATACTTGAATATAAATTTCATAGGGATGATTGCAAAATGATTAAGTTATTATTGTCCAATTGTTCTTGAGATATTTTCTGAGCATAATCTTGAATAAACATGGATACATACTTAATAAAGAAGTTTTCATTTAATTTATTTTTCTTTCTTAGCTCAGTGGTTCTTAGAAAATTTTTAAATGACCCATATTATTTAACCTTTATTATTTATCTCCCTTTAGTTTGAACCATGGGCCTTCCACAAACAACAAACTTAACAAACTAAAAGTCCCTCTTACCCATAGATGCTTAGTGCAAGGTTTGGATGAAATAGGGCTAGTGTTTCTTGAGAAGTCCAAGTGAAAAATTACAGGCAGGCGGCTGTGACGACTTTGATCACAACTATGTGAACTTGATTAGTGAACTAAAGAATTTTTACTATTTTTTTTCAGCTACAATAGGACTTGGTTACCTTTGTCCTGGTAGAAAAACTTACATTTTGGATACATTAATCAAGACCTTAATGTTTTTATCGATAATATTTATTGATCTTGATCATAAATAAATGAAGACAGAAAACATATGGAATTAATGACACAGAATTGAGAAAAGCCCTTCTAAAAAGCTGCACCATAAGAAAATGTTTGAACTTTGCACTCACAATATCAAAACTTCCTTACTTGATAAATGTAATGTATATGGTCATTTCTTATTTGTAGTTTCATAGATGAATACATATAATATTCATTAACAAGAATCTGTTAATGGCATTTGTAAATCCCTTGTGAAATTATTTCAACACGTATTTACCCTACACTTTGATCTCAACAGTGTTTAATTCCTTTCCACCGGTTGCTATTTAAAATACCGAGTTTGTCGTCCTGAACCGATTTTCGTATTTCTTCTCTTGCAGAATTTGGAGGCCATCTCTCAATATCATATGTATTCAGTCTCTCCGTTATCTCTTCCAGTTCATTACTCCCAACTTTCTTCAATCCCCGAAAACGATTTGGCGCGAAAACCAAATAGTCCACCCGAACGCGAGACTGTGGCTTCTTTTCGGCTTCATCAAAAAATACTCTGCTTATCGAAGCCGACCTCGCTCGACTCGCATTCGTTGGTCTAACAAGCCTCGATACTATTCCCTCTAATTCGTCATCTGAAACTTTCCTATCGCCAATCTTTGGCCGATGGATTCCTTCTTCTGGTATCGGTGAGATTTTGCATAGTCTCTTCCCGTTCCTTTTTTTCTTCGGAATCCTAAATTCTTTGTTCTTTTGCGGCGGCTTTGGCGTTTGTGCATATAAATAAAGACTATACGGCGCAGGCGAGGGTAAAGTTGACCCAGTGTTTAGCAAGATGGGTTTCCTTTTCCCCGCCGCTTTGGCAATGTCAAAGAGACCACTGAGAGGCTCATTATGCGAAAACGATTTACTTCTCGATAACATTGCTGTTTCTTTGTATGACTCACTACTATCCTTCCGAGAATTGCCGTCTATCCATCGAACACTCTTGTTTCTAGAAATGCTAGGATTCGATGTCTCAATTCCAATTGAAGTTTTGCTGCGAGGGAAATCAACAATATTAACATCAGATGGTCTTTTCTGTATCTGCGTCCTACTTCTGAAGAGGCTTGCCGCCTTGTTTACAGTGACTGCGGTCGCAAAACTTATTCCTTTCTTTCTGCTGTCTGATTGTCGAAAACTTTGTTCAGAATCAGTATCGTCATCCGAGGAAGAATAAACCCCCGGACTAGGAGTGCGAGTGTACGAAAACTGACCCTGCTCGTCAAGCCAGTTAGGTTTAAGCCATGACGAAAAGTCTACAGATTCTCTCATTCGCCCATCCACACGGGGATTAATCCATAATGGGGAGGGCCGTGTGGTTCCATCCTCGTCATTGTCACCCTGTAGATTAATGCACAACCGCGTTGTAACGGGCTTTTTATTCGTATCTGTCATTCTGAAGAATTTTTCATTAAAGAGGTCTTTACATATTTCCCACAAGATAATTCTTCTTTTCAATTTTGACTTTCAGCACCTGTCAAAAATTTCATTATCCAGTGGTTTGGTTTGAGATAAGATCCATATTTCGTAGATCTTTCTCCAAGCAAAGTATGAAAATTAGATTGTTCCCGTGAACGACGACTGGTTTCCGCGATATGCCATTGTTCTCTGTTCAAAAATGAAAGTGTCGTTTGTTTTTCTTTAAACTTTTAACTCGCTCGCAGAATCGGCTTTGGCCGTTGTTAATGCGTCCTATAATCCCGATTTACAAATTATCCCTTCGACACTAAAACAGTTTAATTTACACACATTTTTAAGAATTAAAGTTTAAATAGATGAACTAGATTTCTCTAAACAATGTAACCAAGTATACCCGTCTTAAACCAACATTAGAAGACGAAAATATTGTTGGGTCCTTTTTCGTGGAATCATATTTGACTTTTATATTTATTTAACATTAACTCTATAATTGACTTCTTTAAAGAAAATGGTATTGCAATACAAAATCCATATGATAAATATTTCCATAACATTAATAAAGGATAAAGGTTCCGGCATATAATTTTCAGATGTTGAACTTTATACTTCGAAGTTTGATTGTGATATCTTGTACACTCTTCTTTTGTTACTAGTATAACATGGACAACAAAAATATTGTCTCGCTCAGTAGCCAACACCTAAATTTAATCTTCGGAAATGAATGTTTGACCATTTAACTTGACCTCAAGTTTTTATAATAGGATTAAACAGTAAGAATAATTTACATCGAATTGCCAGAATGCCTTTGAATTAAACTGGTCTGCTGTTTAAAAATACATTATGTATTTCACTAATGAAGTGAAATGACATATTCCATATGTACACATATACGGGTGATGGTCATTATAACTGCGTTCACAAGAGTTTCTATATAGAAGACAAAAGCCCCCATGGAAGATTTCTTAGGATTATGGAAGTTGTATAACCAAAGATTTGAAAATTTCTAGGTATAACTTGACCTTGACCTAAGGTCAACCTTGAAGTGGATGAATGCTGAATCAGAGAGATATTCAAGTAAAGTACACATAGGTACCTACCAAGATGAGTCATGAAAAATCAAATAAAAAAAGGAATCAAATATTAGTCAATATTGACCGGATGTTTCCAAAAACGGATACATGTACTTCAACTCCTATTTGTAATTATGATGTCATCACGAGGATGATGTAAAAATGTCTTGTATGAAAAACTACTCTATAATAGAACTAAGAATTTTAAACCTATTTTTTGATTTTCTAATTAAAAAATAATAAAACAAATGTAGCTTTTTGATTCGGTTCAATTCCCGTTGAATTGAAAACAGTCTAGCATGAAAGGGCTTGTTTTGTTGGGGCTTTTGACATTTTGTAGTGGAGGCTTTGAAACAGTTCCTGAATAGAGTTTGGCAAGGGGCATTGAATTCCTTCAGTTTTTTTCCAAAACTGCTCATCATATAAACCAAATGCATATTCCTTGTGTAGATACTGCACTTATAGTTGATCATGTGATTATTTGGCTCAAAGGAAAATTTTCAATATAAATGGCTGTAAAATGAGTAAGGCATCTGTCCACTGGCCATGGGTGAAAGGACTTTAGATTTCTGACCTTGATGGAGATTTATTACTTCTGTTGAGATTGTGACAGAAGAGCTTATGCGATAATAAGGTGTCCGTCTGTCTGTCCATCTGTAAACAATTTTTCAAAACGCTACTCCTCCTACAGTTTTAGTCTGATTTCAATATAACTTGGCACACAAGTAGACTATACTAAGATATATAATTCTGTGTATCGGTTATTGATTTCGATGAACGGTGTTGCCATGGTT